AGCTGACGTTTATTGTGTTTGAATCTCACATGATGATGATGATGATGATGATGATGCAGCTGGCATGTCGGAGGTGAGGTAGATAAGAACAAAAGCTTTTACAGGCTTCTCCGATTCGCTCACCGAGGCAGCGAATGAATGGATTTCTTCAGCGGTGGTAACGGGTATCCTGGTGTGATGCCATTAGCTGTTCTCATGCCGTGGTTGCTTTCCAAGAGTTGAGTGAAAGGACAAGAGTATATATCTCTTAAAGCCTGTGAGAACGGAGCATCTACCCTGGCACCAACACTTCTCATTTGATCCTCAAGTGTTCTCACAGCAATCACTGTGTACACGACTAGAAATGTTGCACAGACATGTTTTGATGTGTTTTGACAAGCAGGGAAATGAATGAATCCACTAACACAGAGTCTCTTTAAAAGCTGCTCTTTTTATTGTATCTACTTTTAAAAAAAAAAAAAAAAAAATGTTGGTGAAGGGCTGTATCACTGCATTTTTTTCACTATGCTAAATTTCAGTTTGCATGCAGTGAAATAAATGTACAAGTGAGACAACGCAATAAATTAGCATATAATTTACATTTTGAAAAAAAAAAAAAAATTAGTAACAGTGTACCAACATTAATACAAAGAATATAAAATATACGCAACTAATCACATAATGCTTCTCATTTCTCTTGCACTTTAGGTACAGGTAATAGCAATGTGACATTCAAACATCCAAGTTCACAGCAATGAGTACCAGTTTGATTGATTTCACTTCTCTTTTTTCTGGAGGCTCCACATGTCCCGCAGCCAGTGGATGAGTTAGTCCAAGAGATTTCAAAATGCTTCTCAGCATCCACCGTCCTCACCCCAAACCCCCACCCCAACCCCTCCCCAACTGCCTCATTCAAGGTTTGGTAACCACTAAAATCTGCTCGACATTGTCATACTGAAGGTGGCTACAAAAAAGTAGCAGCAGCAAAATTAGAAATTAGTTGTTAACAGCTTCGATGAGATCCTTGCACACTCCTGCATTGTCTCTCAGATTTCTCCTCCTCCTCCTCCTCCTCCTCCTCCTCCTCCTCCTCCTCCATAATGAGTGTGTGATGGAGACGTTTCATAGGTGTTCCCTTTCGTAAACCCCTACGCCAGCAGAAATGTCACCTGGGTAAAGGGATTCAGTTAGAACCGGGCGAGTGTCCATTGTGTTGGTAGCACAAAAACAACAATAAACGGTTAACAATGAAAAATTCCCAGTGTGAGGTATAAACAGATACAAACAAAACAATAACATGACCAGCATTTACCAACAGAGATATTGACAGGATATTATTTCATATTGTTTGGATCCAGCCTCACTTTTAAGCACACTGGAGAGGGCTGAATGGAAGCAACCACTTGATAGCACCAGAAGCCTGGGAAGGCTGTAACCCTCGGAGCAGAGCAGGAGGAAAAGAAGAGGTAAACACAGTACTCCATGGAAATAAAAAAAAAAAAACCCAAACAATAAAATAAAAGAAGGGTAAAGCACCACTGAGTTGGCTGTTTTGTTTTTGTTTTTTTCTTTACGCTGATGATGAGAAGGAAAGGGAAAGAGGATGAGGGGGTAACTGTATCTGAAGCCTGGATACGTGGTCTGGCAACATATCCACAATCAGTGTGATGTGTGTGTGTGTGTGTGTGTGTATATTTAGCACTGGCCCCTTATTTAAATGGAATAGTCAGACATTTTTGGGAAATTCACTTATTCACGTTCTTTGCAGAGACTTAGATGAGAAGATCGATACCACTCTCGTGTGTGTACGCTAAACGCTAAAGACAGTTAGCGATGTTAGCATAAAGACTGGTTGTCTGGAACCTGTATTTCTGGGGGGGTGTTGCATTGAGCTCCTAATTTACAAACTCTGCTCTGATTGGACAGTTGATTTCTGATGTTTCCGCTGCCACAAAACACATCAACAATGCTGATGATTTGTTTCCACACATTGTTCTTCTTTTTATTTTCTTTTTTTGTCCCAGTAACTCATTAAAAAAAACGTCAGAGAACTGGGAAGGTGGGAACTCCAACCATGAGCTTTTTCTATTTCGCTGAGTAGCTTTGCGTAGCGGAGTAGAGTAGTAAACATCTCTTTGCTTCTGCTTTTTGAATCCGTATCTGTGAGCAGCTCGTAAAGTTCACTAGTTAACTTGTTTAAACCATACAACAACAAAAAAAAGTGTAAAATATTGAACAGAGGGTTTATGTGATTGGGACTATTTCTTGGCTGGACCACGCCGCCATAAAACGGAGCTGGGATGTAAAGCAATTTTGGCGTAATAGCCACATGATGCACATTGGTCCAAAAAGCAGTTTTCCCATTGGAAATTGGAAAGGGAGCAGCTGTGAAACGGTGAATGTTTTGGGGTTTTTTTTGGAGCTTCGCTTCAACGACTCAGAATCTGATCTGTTTGGTCCAGTTACACTTGGAAAGTCTAGAAGAGACGTATGATTGAATTATTATATCTCGTTAATATGCGAGGAGCAGCGGGAATTAAGCCAGCTTTATGAAAGACCATGAAAACCACATAAATGTAGTTTTTAATCTTATACACTGTGCCGGTTTAGGCTAGCTAAGGTACTAAACTCGACATTAACAGCTTGATCCATGATGACGTCATGACTTTATAAATGCTGAGTGTCGTACAAACTAAAATGCATTTGAGTGGTGATGTCATTACTTGTTTTAGAAAATGACCAAACTCAACGTGATTCATAATTTCCACCTCTAGTTTTTACACTTAAATCTCTATACGTAGTAAGGAACAGATTTTAACATGTTGAGCCTTCTGCTATATTCATGTCATATCGTTTAAACAATTACGAGCAGCTGAAAAACCATTAAAGGAGCTATATGTACAATTTACTACATAGCTAACGTTAGCATTAGCAGCTGACCAGTCTAGAAGAAACGTTGCAAGTTCAGCATCAAACTTCATTCCTTTACTCACCAAGAGCTGCCTCCAGAGATGGCAAGCAACACCAGTGTTAACTCTTGTCCCTATCACATCTTTATTTGTAGTTAGTTAGCCAGCTAAGTTAGCATGCTAACCAGCTAGCCCCGGCCCATCTCGTCACTTTCTGGTGGCGACTCACTGTAGCCTCCTGTAGCGCTGCTCAGAGGACGTATTACAACCTCTTGTCTTGTAAATGCAACAATGGCCGAAGCTCCTGGCAGAGAAAACTTACAAATAGCCCCTTTAACTTCAGGCTCTGTCTTGTAATTCAGAGTTTAAAATCATCAAAGATTTCTGACACTAACAATCTCCCATATGGTAAAGAGAGAAAAAAAAAGGTTAACAAACTGGAGCTACACTGTTTGTTTGTATCTGGTTTCACTTGCTAACAAACTGCTACGAATGCATAGCACAATAAAATAGGCTAATTAAGGCAGTTTATCTGTTAGCACTAAGGCTAACCATGAACATAATGCATGAGTCAGAATAGGACGTGTTCTTCCTGTTCTTTCCTTTCTGCCAGTGTTGCATGAAGGATTTTATAACTTCTGGACAGATCTACGCTAGCTGTCCCCCCCGTTTCCAGTCTTTATGCCAAGCTAAGCTAACTGACTCTAGCTTCACATTTAGCGCACAGACATGAAAGTGGTATCGATCTTCTCCTCCAACTCTTGGCAAAAAGGCGAACGAGCACATTTTCCAAACTATTCCTTTCACTCTTATCGGCACTGAAACCATTGCAGTCTCCGCTCCGCTGCTGAAACACAAAAATACGACGGCTGACCAACTTCCTGGTCGACAAGAGTAAGAAATAGTGACTGCACTGCGGTTCCAGTGAACAAGCTGCTTTGTAGAATATGCTCCTTCAAAATGAATCCTTCAATAGTGAACTGAAGCTCCTCGAGAGGATGTTTGGAAAAAGGCCAGTTTGGTAACAGTGTTTCATGTGGCCCAGGCACCGTCTGACAACATCTTCATACCACTACTCTGGACTGACACTGGGTGAACTTTCATTGGAGTATCAGGAACTAAGGCAACATCTGGGGAAAGAAAAAAATTATCTAAAAATTTTCCTATAACCACGTGATATTTTCTGGTCCGGGATTAACATTATAATATAATATACAAATCCTTACAGTATATAAGGGTTTAACGTATGTTACAGTATGTAATATTTTCATTCCAGCACAGAGACATTGAAATTCAATCACATTACATTCCCTTCCATGACAGTAGGCTACTATCTGACAAAAAAACATGATGAGAGGACAATATCTCAGCTCTGTTTGGAATTGTACAATAAATATACAGTACACTGATGGGGTTTCTCTGTCGTATTTGAGCGGTAAATTGTAAATAATAGTATTTACAGGAAAAAAGTGCACCGAAGCCAAAAGTCTGCCTGCCAATAGCACCATCACAGTCGTCCCAAAGACAGGAGTCCGACACGTTCAACTCCCAACCCCCATCCCCACCCCCCACCACCCCTCTTCTGGTGAGGAGTCCGCCCCTCCGTCTGTCCGTCTCCGGGGTAACATCCTCTGCGAGCGATGTGTCCAGCACTTTGGATTCATAAAAACAACAAACACGGAGGAAGACTAACAATGATATCAATAATTATTATTATAATAAAAATAACATCACCAACAAATAATCTTCCAAGTTCCACTTCACAGAAGTGAAAATTTAAAAAAACAAAACAAAACAAAAAAAAAAAGAGTTTGTGTCAGCGTTACGAGCTGAGCAGTGGTTTGGATTCCACCATGATGGAGGGCAGGAGGATCAGGTGTGACAAACAGGGAAAATCCTTACTTCTCTCCAGCAGATCTCTTCGTCCGTTTTCCACCGGTCCAGAGTTTTGTTTTCCAGTCTGCCCTGTTTTCTTCTTCTCTCCCTTTCAGTGCTGCTGTATCAGCTTCCCTCCATCTTTTCCTTGTCTTTCCCTCTCTCTCTCTCTCTCTCTCTCTCTCTCTCTCTCTCTCTCTTTCTCTCTCGCTACGTCTCGCTCTCGTGCTCCAGCGGTCAGTGCCCCTGGCAGGTCTTGCAGCACATCTGTCTGAAGTACGCTCGGCTGCAGAACTTGAACTTCAGCACCAGCGGGCAGTAGGCCACTTTGTTTACATCTTTGCATTCTGGAGAGAGAGAGAGAGAGAAAGAAAAGAGAGCTGGGTTAATTTTAACATGTTTTACATTAACTGTTCTCATGTTTTGTCATGAGTGAGAGGTGAACTTGCTTCTAGCCCCAGTTTTGTGCCTCTCACGCTGCTGCATTTTCTTATTGCGCAGCCTGAATCTTAAGTCTGGAAACGCTGCCTTCACATCAGGCATTCAGGCATCGCAGTCAGGAGGAATGCGAGTGTTTTAAACAGTCAAGTTTCATCTCGCTCATGTCTCAGGTCTATGTGACGCCTATCCTACGTTGCCATAGTGCAGAAGATCATTTAACAACACTTCCTGGTGATCTGGAGGTTTTTCTAGAAACCTCAAAGACTCTTCTAAACTTCTTCTTCAAACCTGTTTCCTGAGTCGAGTCTCTTCTTTTTTTTTTCCCCCCTTTTTGCTGACTGTCCACAAAAGAGGATTGAACATTCTCCTGCAGCACAATCCATGTCAAAACAACACTTTTAGTTTATAGGTTTGTAATGACTCCTGACAGCCTGCAATCGGATATGAAAACATTTTCTAACTAACATTACTGCCAACCTTTTTTTTTTGTTTTTTTTTTGAGGAAATTAAATTCTGTGTTTTTAAGACATTCCAGGACCGACAGATACTCTGCGGTACGTACAGATGTTTCTTTCTAATATAAAGTAATAATAAATATTTTGCTTGTGTTTTACAAAAAGAAACGGAACATTCGTCTTCTCGCTTCCCTGATTAGGACACACACTTGGAACCTGGGAAATGGGTTAAAAATATTTTTTTTATTGTTCACCAAATGGAATATTTTTTTTTCACCAGGTGTGTATTAGTTTGGAGAATCCGCTATGCTCAGCGCTGCGACTCAGATGTAATGATAATACATGAGAGGCACAACCTGGGGTTAACCTGCTGCAGCAGAGCTGGTGCATCTCCCTCGGGACTCGACAGAGTAAAACTCTGCAACTATACTTGGACGCAGAGGCTAAGACTGAGACAGATCCTGGCCTCGTTCGCTAACTGGGCTGTCTGCCATCCCTACGATGCACACTCACACACACACACACACACACAAACTGCCTGCTGGATGCCGGACAGGCAGTGCTCTAAATGCCTTATCACGATCAGAGTGTCTTCCCTTATTAGGCTTTGGCCCCTGCCTCCACAGAGCCAAATGAAACGAGACATTGCCTCACTGCTGTCCGTAAAGGAACAATTAGCCTACAGCTAATCCCATTAGCCAGCCTGTAAACGCTGCTCACGTTTTCCATTCAGCCTAATCGAAAGGCCCTTCTCTATGCATCTGAATAGCCATCCATCATGTGTAAGTGTATATGGAGGGTTGAGCCGTTTCGCTTTGACCAGGAGCCAACCTCACTGGAAAGATTAATGTAGCTGGCAAAGTGTAGAGGAGTGTGTCATCCAAGCGTGTTTAGGTCATAGTAGAACAGTGAAGATGAAGATAGAGACAGTTTATAACCTTTTCAGTTGGGGCTTTGTGTGAAAGCAATGCACATACGGTACAATAGGTATTCACATAAACCATCTGCCTCTGCGTTAGAAGGAGCGGCGGGTTTAAACAGAGGCCCGCGTCGCCACATTTTCTTCCCGAGCGTGATGAAAAGTAGCAAGCAGACAACTCGTCACACAGACGGGTCGAGCCGGCGCTGTTCCCATGTGACGGCAGGCTCAGAACGTGCACGATACATTCCGTCATCTTACCGTCGCCGTTAGAGATGGGGGTGGCATCGCACTTGCTCTCGCACTGCTGCATGTTGGTGGGTCGGAGGGACTCTGCGCACTCGTTAGACGGCTGCCCGGTGTAGGACAGACACTGGACCGTCCTCATCTGCTGGCCCAGGCCGCACTGCGCCGAACACTGTAACAGAAAACATCAAAGTGAGACTCATCGCACGTGCAGGAGTCAATCTTCTACTGAACTGAAACAAGGGAAATGAGGACCATCTTTTCTCGACACACATTCAGACACAACTTGATCCAGTCAACCGATCATCAGGGCAGCAAGAAGCCAGAGTCCCCTTCCCTTTTGTCCCCCCTTATGAGCGTCTGTGTTTCCCAACTCGGAGTAACCAGGTCGACTGTTGCCCACAAGCTTTTTCTCTGCACAGAAAGACTCATTTTTGTGCAAAAGAGAAAAGAAAAGAGAAACCTCTCGTTTCTCCGTAGGAATTTCTCTCTAATTCCTGAGCTGAGCCGCAACCAGTAGACATGGCTGAAGGAGACGGGGGTAAATCATCTCAGATGAAGTAATAAGGCCAAATCTATTAAGCGCTGCAAGCAGAAAGGCCATTACTAGAAAGTGGCTAAAACCTGGAATACCTTCCACTGACGACTGGATTGACATTATTTATGGTGTCGTTAGGATGGAAAGAATAACCGTCTTTGAAAATATGAGACTCACACTCGTCAGTCCATCATTTGTTTCATGTGAATCTCTCATTGAGGTGCGCCCAGACTTTCTGATTCTATTTAAGTTTTCTTTTCCTTCCTGTATTTTCATTTTATTCTTTTATTCTTCTTATTTTCTTTCGTATTATTTATTATGACTGTGTTTTTTTTTTATAATCCTTTGTTGGAACTGTTTAAATGAAGGGCACGGATAGTCAACATTTCTAGGTCTTATTACAATGACTACATGATTTGTTCATTGCCTTTGGAATAGACCCCTGCTGCATTCGGGGGATAATAATGCTCTAAGTTTTGAACCACAGTTCCCATAATTTGGGGGCTTTGGGAATGTAAACAGGAAGTATAATGTTGCCATGGAATCAGTGAGTTATGCTGTGGGCCACAACTTGAGCCCACCTTTTTTTTTTGCTTATATTTGGCGAAGTGCCACCATTAAAAGTTAGCCGAATTAGCTGTTAGCAGTTCCCGTTTGCAGTGCACCCATGGGTGTACAGATGGCGATCACTGGATTTCTCTGATACTGAAGAAAAACCTAAAAATGTGACGTTTCTCAGGCAAGTTCTGGAGCTAGAGGAGGCATCTTTTTTTCCGTGATTTCAAAGCAGATTTATGGATGTTTATTTGATATGCGCATCATAGATGATGATATCCCCCGGTACTGTAAGTCACACTGAATCTAAAAATATGTATATCATGTGTGTGTGTGTGTGTGTGTGTGTGTTCAGATTTGACTGAGTTATGACTCTGAGGTAATGTTGCAGCAATCAGGCGCAGCAGGTTTTTAAAGTACCTTAATTGGCTCCATGAGCTGTGTCATGGACCGTGACCGTGTAGGTGAGCAGGCCAAATCAGCAGAATAATAAAGTAACAAGTGCCACAACTCCAGAGGCAAAGCCACAAAAAGAAAAAAAAGTATCAAGCAGGTGCAATGAAACCCCCTCTGTGCTGCACTCATCACACAGGAAGTGATTTTACGGTTAAATAGAATAAACAGGACCGGTGTAAAAATGTAAGTCACATCCACAGTTTGTCTATTTTTAAACCTATTTTCAGTTTTCACGTATTCAACAGGCCAAGGTTTGACTGACCTAATGTCATCTGGCTCAAGTTAAGGCCAAATGGCTGGGAGTCCATTTCACTGACCGACCTGCAGTTGCTGGACTCGTCTTGACCTTCAGAAGTGCCCGTGATATATGACGATATGACATGATAAGTGTTCAACAAAGGTCACGTGGGCCAGAACATGACCTCAGCTCGGCGGTTTTGTTTTGTGTTTGTGCTGCTTGACTTTAAAATGCGTTTCCTTGAATTTACACCTTTTATTTTGTGTTAACTTGGTTGTGTTTGTTTCTATATTGTCCTCCCTATATCTTTTATTTCCTTCTTTCTCTGTTCCTTTTTCTATGTACAACTTCTGTTTTGAAACATTTCAAGAACTTGTTTAGGTGCGTCTCTCTTCCTATTTCTATTAAATTCATTTGCATATCACAGCTTCACAGTATTACACGTCTGTAAAGACGCCTTCTTCAGCACATTGTCCACATCAGCTCCATTTTCTCAGAGAAGGAAGCAAAGACTGGATTTGATGGATTCGCCTTGACCACAGAACAAAAGGAGAAAATGTTTTTCGACGTGTGAAAAAGCTGTTGTGTCGAACCCGATGTGCACCTGCATATCTTTGTCTGACTTCCATCGATGCGCCAGGTGACATAAAAACTTAGGTTGGTTCTATGGGTGGCCATTAAACTCCTTTCCAGAAGAGTAAAAAAAAAAAAGGAAAAAAGACAGACCACAAAAACAAATGCAGACGGTGCCAACACACCTTCGGCAAAACACAAGCCTCAAATAAATCTTCAAAATTAATCTACTTTGGAAGCACTGAGAAATAACACACACACCCGTCAGCCATCACTGTGTGTGTGTGTGTGTGTGTGTGTGTGTGTGTGAGTGTGTGTGTGTGCGCCCATGTACGAGTGTGTGATGTGAGCCCGGCCATCAACAAACGGCCGCCTCCCGCTGACGAGAGAACTACCAGGCTTTCTGTCACCTTCACTGATCCTCTGTGGCTGCCTCAGATCAGTGGGCCCCGCATGTCATCCCTTCCCAATTAGAGAGTCTTTATTAGGGCCCGCTGCCAGCCATGACAGATGGTGTACGTCAATGGTGTGACTTAAGTGGGATTTGAACCGGTGACCTTTTGGCCTGGGAGACCGGGCGTTCTGTAGCTGGCTACAATCTCCCCTTTCTGACGCTTGGAGGGCCGGAGCAGCGAGGGGCCGGAGCAGCGAGGGCGAAGCTTTTAATTACAGCCGAAAAAAAGAAAAAAGAGGGAGAGGGCTGCACGCACACACACACACACACACACAAACGTCTGCAGTGCATGAGAAAGTGCTGCGTAAGAGCAGACTCCAGCTGTTGCTCTACGAGGTATTAACCTCGGCTCAGCGTGGCGAGCAGCCCGCTCTTTGATGGAGCACGCTGAGGTTATCAGTCAGCTCTGCTTTGTTTACGACCGTTATTGGCACTGATTGAATTGTAAAAGCGTGTTACTGCCGTTTGCGGACGGCACATGTGGCCGTTATGAGAAGAAGCAGAAGAAGAAGAAGAAGAAGCAGAGGGCTGCGACCTAGACTGCCTGACTCTTGACCTCTGACCTGTGACCTGAACAACGCAGGCGGCGCCCACACCATGACATCACACGCGCAGGATCGTGGAGTGATCCGCTCAGCCGTCTTTCTAAACATCAGAGCGAACTGTTTAAAAATTCCACTTTTACACCAAATTATTAACAAATCCTACAAAATAACAAGCCATACTTTCTGTGGATACAACTCTCTGTGACGCACGTTTCTCTGGCGTCCGCTCACTAACATGAGTCAGCTGTGTTGCAGAGCGTTGCTGTGCGCACTAAGTCATGTCAGGGTGAACCCGGTGAATGCTCCTCCTCCTCGGTCTTCCTCTAAATCGTGTTCCTGGAAGTGATAGAGAGGCCTGGGCTGAGGCAGAGATAAACTTCAAACAGCCAGGAGGATATTACTGCCACTGATCACACACTCCAGGCCTGCTGGAGCACTTGGACTCGCACACACAAACACAGGCCTCTACGTGCACGCACACACGCATGCGCACGCACACACACACACACACACACACACACACACACACACACACACACACACACACACACGTCACAGGCCTGTATGTCATCCAGGTGTAAATTACACTAACCATCCACCAACACATGGAACCTATCTGTGCATCTTTTGTCTTTTAAACATTCGAGCTGTCCTTTTAAAGGATTAACCGGCGCGCTGTTGTTTGGGCAGATCGCTGACACCGCGCCGTGATGTGGAGGAGGTGCCGTCCTACCTGTCCCCATTCACCAGGGATCCAGCGAGGAGGAGGACAGCGTCCTAAACTGCAGCGGATTCGGACCGGAGGTTTGTTGTGGCTCGGGCAGTGGGCGGGCGGGAAGGTCTTCGTCAGGTCGCTGCTCCTACACAAGGCGATGCGGTGCTTGTAGCCGGGGCCACATTTCGGCGTGCACTGAAGGAGGAGGAGGAGACGTAAGAAGAAGAAGAAGAAGAAGATCTCGACAGCATGATGAGCTAAAGAGAACAGCTTCAGATTATCGCCGTACCTCGGACCAATCCAGGGTGACCCACTTTGGCGGGCAGGACTGGTTGTTGCAGGACTCGCGTTCGATAGGTCGGTGGGTCAGACAGTGGGTGTCCTCCAGCGTCTCCTCCTCAGCAGGGCCAATCTTCCTGATGCACAGGACTGTCCTCGTCCTCATCCCGCCGTCACACGTCTTCCCACACTCCGACCAGTCGCCGATGAACCACCTGGAGGAGAGAGACGCGAGTTAAAAGAATGGAGGCTGGCGTCGTTACTCCAGATACACTTGATTGCAAACAAGCTATTGATAATATTGGAGTGTAAAAATCACATAAGCGTGACTTTATCAAGGATCAATCACCAAAGGGCGTCAAAGCTTTAATACTTTTTTGGTACGAGCTGAAACACGTCCACAGTTCTGAGAATCAGGCCAAATTCATAATCTTTACCTCTTGGAGTTTTCAAGAAAAACACGTTCATACCTCTCAAAGTCAGGTACCGAAAGTTTCATAACGGCACTAATATGGAAACATTTCAAACACCACCCGCCCTGAGCGGGGGCCCCAAATCCTCAGGTGACCCCTAAAGCCCCAGGTCCACCTTATGTCAGCCGGTGTGTGGTAATTAACTGCAAATTTGTTGGGGAACACACACCAATAAAGTGCAAAGTAAAATGAAAAAAGGGGCGTTGACAAGGAAGCAGGTTCATTTCACTGTGGAAACTTTTTTGGGGAAATACAATTATTTACCATCGTGACACGAGTTAGACGAGAAGCTCGACTCCACTTTCATGTTGAAGTATGAAGCTGTTAAACACGCCACCGCTGATAAAGACTATTTCACAAAATGTCAAACCGGGACTTTATTAGCAGTGAAACTATTTGCAGCGTAAGAGAAAACCTCGTTTACTGCAGCTAGACACAATATTATAGTAACATCTAATTGTTTAGTCTACGAGATGATAAACAGTAGTAAAGAAGAGGCCAAACGTGACGTCTTTAAACGTCTCATTTCGTTCAACCATCCACCAAAGATATTTACAGGTTTGACTGAGAAGCACTTATGTTTTACAGGCAGACTCAGGAGAATATTTGACATTCTTTCACTGTTTTATCTTAAAAAGCGCCTGAGACGACGAATCGATTATCACAACGTTTCCTGTTAATCGACGAAATCGAAGAATCAGCTCTTGGTTTCAGTCCTTGTGACGTACGAGTCTCCGGTTCTCCGTGTGGAAATGAAACTTTAACGTTACAACATGAATGAACTCTCATGACCTGGCGGACAGGTGACCACTGTGTGGCCATGCCATGCCATGCCATGCCAGGCCGCCTCCAGAAAATCAGACCCAGTGCTGTGCTGTTCGCTCCCCCTCCCTCCCCTGCCCACACACTTCAGAATTAATATCATAAAACTGCCCAGACAACAGCCCCCCCCCCCTCCCCAAACACATCCAGCCTGTGAGATATTACATCATCTGGAAGAATGTATACAGAATTAACAACGTGTTCAAACATCTGTGTTAGCTTTCATTACTCCAGCCCATAAAACTCTATTCTAAAACAATCGTGTTTACACGGTCTCCTTCAGCCGGCCTTTTCCTGAGGCTGCAGACGGGGGTGTTTGCCTCCCTAACAGACACAGATGCCATGTGTGCACTGTAACTCAATACACGCATGCACGCACACACACACACGCACGCACACACACACACACACACTGCCACAGCCTTCAAGTATTAATCAAAACAAATGAGATACCACAAGTCTGTGTCCACTGAATACAGATGTGAAAACAAATAACCCAAGACTGAATGTATGAAAACAAATTACCACTTATACAGTAGATTTACGATACTATCAGTTTTTCTGGCCCGAGACGCGGCTGAAAGACACCGACACTCGCTCTCATACGCGGACAGTCTGAAACTAATTAACGTGATGCATTTAATCCCTCTTTTTACAGACATGATTGAAGCGAGTCTGGCCACGCTTCCAGCCACAGCGCAGGGGGTTTTACGGACATTTGGCCACCAAAACACAAGTTCATATTCCACCTGTATACGTGTATATTACCCCTGGAGGATCGGGCGAAGGAGCCAAAACAATCAAACACAGGTGGTTATTTTCAGGGCTCTTATTTTTGGCACGAGGCAAACATTGAAAATAGTTAACATATGCCATTATAAATCACGGCCGTTTTATTTCATTATTTTCTTCCAAACACATTTTACAACCAGGGCTCATTGAAGGCAAATTAATATCACGAGTCAGCCTCATTTTTATGGAGGGTTTTTCTTTTGAAGGCGTTAACTTAAAGCTGCTACACTCAATATTTTTTTTTATATGAACAATGGATCAAATGTGTGTGTGTGTGTGTGATGTGGAGGGTGTCGCTGGTGGTGACAAACCCGCAGGGGGGGGAGTCATCGCCTGACGCAGTTTTCCTCGTGGCGTTTTAGCGTCTCTTCGCTCACTGTTTTGGTTTTTTAACAGGCTGCAAACTTTCACTGGTTTGGTTTAATCTTGCAGAAACTTTTCTCGTCTTATTAACGAAGTGCTTTACAACACGTCACCACAATCACCATCACATCCACACACTGGTGCTGAGTATATATACAACAGCACTGAACGAAGCTGGAGAACAGGACTTGAAAGAGTGATTAATTAATCAATGTAAAAATAACTGATGGCCATTAATGAAGGTGATGATGGTAATCTATTAATTTAAGTCATATATCATCTGAAAGTGTCAAGAATTCTCCTTAAACGTGACGAGCAGCTGCTTCTCTGTGTTTGATATCATTGTAAATTTAACATGTTTGGAAACGAGCTGTGGGAACTTAGTCATCACTTGATACCGACACAGTGATGGAGGTTGAGTGATACGTACTCTGGGGGACACGGCTCAGTGTTGCAGTCCCTCTGGTTCTCTGGAGGTTTGCTGTCTGGGTCACAGTAGCTGTTCTGCACCACCGAGTTGTCGTCCAGCCTCTTACACACCACCTCCTGCTTCTGGGAACCTGCAGAGAGTGGGGGGGGGGGGGCTGATCAATAAGGCCGCACAGAGCTCAGCTGATCTCGCACATTAAACCCCCGCAGAAACATGGAAGCCGGACGCCGTGTCGAGCGCTGTTTGAGCGGAGATGGTATCGCTTTCAGTCTGTAGTAAATCCAGACATGTAAATTCCTGATTCTTTGCAGGATATCTTGGCAAATCACTTTTACAGAGCGGAGAGCTCTTTACTTTGGCTTCTGATGGAGAGAGTGAGGGCTACCGTATCGGTGTCACACCTCCCACTGTGTGTGTGTGCGTGTGTGTGTGTGTGTGCGTGCGTGTGTGTGTGTGTGTGTGTGTGTGTGTGTGCCATACCAACTCAGAAAGGGTCTGTTTGGACCCTCGTGGGACATATCCCACAGCAGACTTGTCTGGCAGCTGAAATGAGATATGGATGTGTGTGTGTGTGTGTGTGTGTGTGTGTGTGTGTGTGTGTGTGTGTGTGTGTGTGTGTGTGTGTGTGTGTGTGTGTGTGAGTATAGAAAATCTACCCATCTGTGCTTGAAGTGAAATACAGGGGAAAAAGAGTTTCAGTTGTAAGGCTGTCAAAAGGTGTTTTTCATGGATTTTATTAGCGTGGTGATATATTAAACAACACTTCATGATTAGCTGAGCTAGCTGTATCGAATGGGTGAACGATTAAATAACATTTTTCTGATTTAAAGCTCCGTGCGGCTCGGAGACACACCGTAGACACAAATTAGATCATTTGGATCAACAATGCAAAGGCATGTTTATGACGCTGGAAGGCCGTGTGTGCTTCCCCATCTAAGGCATAGCTTCAAACTTCTGCTCTGGACTTGGAAATCCTTCCTCAGAAAAACCCACATGCTTATTCAGTCATGCTTTTACAAAATATTACAAACCCGTCCAGGCCACGCTTGACAACTGGGAAGAAACACTATTTATTGTTACATGAAACCCATTGCTTTTGGGCTAAAAGGTTTGGTTTAGTCATTCTTGAGGCCATGGTCAACATTTCGCTGCGGTTTCAGATTTTGAATGTTTGACTTTGTAGGACAAGCGCTCTGGAAGAGCGGCCGTATCTGTGTGCAGCGCTGGTAAACCAGAAGCTATGCAGAGCAGCTCATTCACAGAAATTACACCATATTCATTACTCTGGCTAAAATATGGAAAATATACATATTGAATTTATTAGAGGGCTGAATCTCCGGGCTATAAAGTAATGATTTTGGAAACCCATCTCAAATTATGATACTGGGTTTCCACACACTGCTCTTCAGCATTTGTGGAATTATTGGTTGGGGAAGATTTACAGAATGACACACACACACACAAGATATGAAGTATTAAATATTTGAGAAGGTTAGAAATATTCAAAAAGAATTTAAACACCCACAACGTGTTATGGTATTCAACACCAAAATGCTTGGAGTGCTCTTTTTCAAAAGGCAAACAGGCCACCGGAGCTCAGCAGAAGGTCGACACTGAGAAGACAGAATCCTTCTCTCACAAGAAAAATACGCTTTGCAGTTAAACGGTTCTCTGCTTAGAATAAATTCTGTATAATGTGACAATCGATTAAAAAATAAACAAAAAAAAAAGAGATCAAAATGCCAATTTGGCACCTTAATATTAATATAGAATAATTTAATGCATGAAAGATTGTAAAGTGAGCTGCCTTTGTGGAGTGCAACAGAAACAGACGAGGCTTCCGGCGCTGACTTACCTCCGGCGCAGGTGGCCGAGCAATCGGACCAGGGCAGGTGGTGCCAGGAGAAGCCCACCTCGTTGTCGCCGCTTCCTGTGCGCTGGATGGGCACGTTGAACTTGTAGCGTATTCCCATGTTCTGTTCCTGAAGGAGGACCTGAAACAAGGAGCGCAGCAAATAAAAAGGTGAGGAGAGGAGGAGGAGGAGGAGAAGTAGCATGGCTGGTCATGCAGAGTGGACTCACACTGACTTATCACTAACTAGTTAAGGTTAGAGTTGTGTTCGTGTCCACCTGACCGATAAAAGCCCCATAATTCACTCGCCTTAGCTCTGTTTTGGTCTCCACCGACTCCTAAGAGAAACATCTGGCTCTTTAAGCTGCTAGCTAGCTGCTAACAAAACAAAAAACACTACAGTTGTACAAAACCGTAACCATGAGCTGAAGGATGCTAAACATGAGGGGGGAAGTTCAGAATCAGACCCCTTTCACATGATCCATTGGTAACATTACAGTATTGATCCTAGCAGTGTGAACAGTCCAGATCAGCGGTGGGTTTATATCAGTCTGCTGGATGCAGAAACTGAGGAAGTTAAGCAAAGCTTTGCAAAGCCGCAAAGAAATGGCTAGCGGTCGAGCGGTCAGTTGCTTGTCTATTCCAATGGTGCTGTGTGGTCTGGTATGTTCAACATTCATGTCAAGGCAGAAACCACCGAATATTATGGCAAGGAATTGTACAGTTGCCTCACATAACACACAATCATGTGCTGAAACCCATTAAAAAACATAAACGCATGCACGCGCAGACTTCCCATACAATGATACAGACACTCACTAAATCAAGTGACATTATGTTTCCACTCAACCAAAATGTTTTCTTTTCAATATCTTCATATAAATAGCTTTCAACCTCCAAACCACTGGCTGAGGGTCATCTAAGGTCAGCACCCAGATGTGTGGGTTTCAGTGGACTGACGCAGACCAACAGCATGAAGTGGAGACGACTCAATACAGAGCTGCAAAGTGAGAGGGGTTATTTCAGATGTTCCTCTGATAGACAGTGTTACTGCTGGTAGCACAGAGATGAAACTAACATCTCAACCATCGATACAAAAGATGAGCGAAGTCCAAAGTCAAAGGGACGAGCCTGTGTGCACAAAAACTTAAAGGTACCATGTGAAGATTTTGTCCACTAGTAGAACAATGTTTGTATGAGCTGAGCCGCAGTTTGTTTGTATCTCACGACAACGCAAATTCATATGAAGTAAAAATGTAGGTTTTAAAATATGTTAAAACATGTAAACATACTACGTTATGAACATGACTTTGTTTACTTACAAGAAAACACCGCAGGATACCTTTAAGGACAGAAGTCAACTACGACTTTTAAGGATGAAAACATCCGATCGCTGAGCTTGAACGTTTTGTTGCATGTGCTGCTAACAGCAGAAAATCAAACTTATGTTTTTGGAGAAACCCGATAAAAACAAAAACATTGAGCAGCTTAAATCAGGTCACTGGGTCAATTCTACACCGTTTACATCCCGACAAAACATTCGCGCCTCTGACATCGACATAGCGGCGTTGGCGTTGGAGTCAGCAGCCACGTCGATTTCTAATTTCTGTGATTTCTAAGAGGCAAAGTTGAAATAATTAACATTAACCTATATAAACATTAAATCATCCAGAAGACATCTCTGTGTTTAGGGACAATGAAATGTTGTATTACCATGACAACCAGGTTTTCAGTGGTAGCTCCCAACGCCTCTAAAGACTCCGGTTCATCAGAGGGTCTCTTGTAGTGGAAGGCCGTACCTGCGATGTCGAACTTCCTGGGCCAGTCAATGGTCCACGCTCCATTGATGTAATAATCGTCCTCCTCAGACTTCAAAGCTACGTAATCACAGAGACCGAGAAACAACCGTCAGGAAGACGAAATCAGAAGCAGACAGGAACGGAAGCTGAGACAATCATTTGACGTGATGTCACAGCCGTCGTTCATCTTCACCCCCCCACCCCCCAACAGACTGGGCAGAAACACACCGTAAAATGAAGACAGTCACGTGCACCAACACGTACATACGTCTAATTTAGGAAGAGAAAGAAAACACACTTCAGGTGAAAGCCTGGACGAACCTCGTGAATACCGCTCCGTCTGGTTGTCAAAACAAAAGTTGGTCTCCAAGCACAACAGATCTGAAAATATCCACTTTCTCTGCATTGACGTGGGGCCAAATTGAGGAGAAATGATCCAACCTCTTGCTATTCTGTCTCTCTGGCTCGCGCTCTCCAGATTCCCCCTCTGCTGCATTTACGCAGATTAGATGAACAACAGTTCACTCGACTTTTAACGCACCTCAATTCTCTTCTCAATAAATTAATTTTCTTGCACATCTGGCACCTGTGAGCATCTGTGACTTTGTTATTTTTGAAAAGTGCAGTTTACAAAAGTCTTCACAAGTACTATCTTTGCATTAACCCACTTAGTTTTTGCTTTAATAAAACATTTTTAAAAATGCAAACTTTGCTGACCCAAATAGCACGGACTCAGACGATGCTACAAAAGCAAAATATTATCTTTATCAATGGGGTCACAGATGAAATTCATAATAAAGTTACAAATTGCTTGGAAGGGAAAATCTAGCCCGACACAACAGCCAAAATTGCACTCTTTAAACTTTGATATATAGACATCATATCCTCCATAATCCTGGTGGACCAGGCAGCTGTCACCAAGGCCCTATAAATCTGATGCAGCTCTCCGGTTCAAAGTGTAACTTAAGCCCTCCATCAACACCATCCGCTATAAATTCAACACGCTGTCACATGTCTGTCTCTACTTAATGAAAAGACACAGAACCGGGCTTAATTGAATCCGGTTGTTTGATTGTTTTGGTTCTGACGCTGCCAGTGGTGCAAACAGTTTTTGTTTAGTCTGGAATGGAACGGACGAGTTCGTTGCCAAGACGATATCACACATGCAAAGATCCAGTGAGGGGTTTTTAAAAAAAAAAATTTCTCCTTCTTATGGCTTCACATTAGAGATTAAATGATGGCACTTTCTAATTTGCTCTTGACAAAGACACAAGGAAATCCCTGGATATGTGGTTGACAGAACAGAACACATAATATGAAACAGCTTGATGTCGCAAATTGCCAATTCATAACACTGTAGTGAATTACAGGGTCTGCTGAGACTGATGGAGAGATAATGAAACAAGATAAACTGTCTACAGACATGCTAGCTGGCTCTGTGCAGCTGCACTTTACCTAGACGCGGTGGTGTTTTGAGCTAACTGCTACCTTACCATGCTAACATGCTAGTATGCTCACCGACTGTAGTTTAGAGCTAATTAACAACTGATAATTAGCGCTCGAGTCAAAGTCGTTCGTTTTTGCAGATGCAGTATTAGGTCATTAACCAAAGCAGACAATCATCCTCTTTCAAAACCACAAATACCATGATCTCATGATGGCACAAGAGAGAAAGTTAAGGGAGTGAAAAATGTCATTAGGATTCATTCCTCGGGGGAACACAAATGATGCATTGTGCATCAATCCATCCAGTAGATGCTGAGATATTTTATTTTTGTGTTCTGTTTACAGCACTACAGGAAACGTCAGGGGATCACTAAAGTCATTAGGATTTATCCTCTGGGAACCATGAATATCTGTACCAAAACGTCATGGTGATCCATCGTTACTGCAAAACAAAAATATCAATCTCATGGTGGCGCTAGAGGAAAAAGTAAGAGGGTCACCAAAGTGTTTAGGATTCATCCTCTGGGAACCATGATTGTCTGTACCAATAGTCAGGGGGATCCTTCTGGGAGACATGAATAATTTTACCAAATTTCACGGTAATCTGTGAAGTAAAAAAACTCACTGAAAAACAAAAATATCAACCTGTTAGTGGCTCTAGATGAAAAGTCAGGAGATAATCAAAGTCAGATATTTCAGCAGACCAACACTGACATCCCTAGAGCCCTGCCAATGACGTGGCTAATAACAAGAAGGGCCAAAAAGAATAGTGCATTTTTAGTCTAATTATCAATGTGACTTACTCATTTTCGAGGCCATCACTCACCAATATAATTCTTGGACATGGCAACTTCTTTAATCTCGATGTGAACTGATCCTTTTGGGATCTGAACCACCTCCATGTAGCCTGGAAGACAAGGACACTCCTCATTAAAGTGGTATTTCTCCCCCTCCCTCCAATTCTGACGTATTTCACATCACAGAGGAGACAGAAAGTCACATATCATATTCGGTAGGAGTACCTATAGAATAAATTCCAAATCGCCGAAAAAGGACAAAGCAGGAGGACAAAACAATCCCCTCCTTTTTTCTTTTTTTTTTTATGTCCAGACACACATGCACACACAGTATTTTTAGATGGTTTACTTGCCATACCATAGAAGGAGAAGAGTTTTCTCTCTCCTGGTCTCTATAGACGACCTCAGGCTACAGCCAACGCCTGGCCCCTATCTCTACTCCCGATTTCTTCACTCCATGATGTAATTAATGGGAAAAATATTATGTTTTGATCCATATTCTGACAACATAATTCTAAACAGCCAAAAACATATGCTCTGTTGGTGAGTGACAAAGGTGAAAAAGGCACATGTCCATGAAAGATGATCTCCCTGGCTTCAGGGATGTGTTGGATTTTGGACAAAAGTCGCTTTGCCAAAAAGGACAGTGAGTTATTTTGTTTTTTTTTTTCACGGTCATCTCCGGTGACTTGAAGTTTGTCACATGTGGTCATCAAACCAAAACACGCTCTCTGCTTCTCCCTTTTTCACACCGAGTGAATCAAAGAGGCCTGAAAGCTGCTGTACAACACGTCAGCGCAGATCTAACGGAAAGCCATTTAAAAGCCTCTCGTCCCAAAACAAGCGCGTCCGCAGTCAGATGTGTTTTACCTCCTCTGGGTAAAGACTCGTTGAAGAGCCCCTCGGTGGCCTCGCAGGTGCTGCCGTCCCCTCCGCACACACGGCATCGATCTTCTTTAGCGTCGGATCCCAGGATGTTGTCGCAGCCCACGTGCTTGAGAAAGAGAGTGAAGCATTGTTTTAATTGAAGGCTGGAAAAAATGGATTCCAGATTTGGAAATAAATATGACTTTATATTGCAAATCTCCTAAAGTCAGATTTCTACATGGATTAAATAAATAAATTATACAGTTATGTGTGTACTGAGCCTTATGGGTGCTGGTAGGTGGCTAGCTGTTTCCCCCTGTTTCCAGTCTTTATGCTAAGCTATGCTAAGCAGACATGAGAGTGGTGTTGTGGTAGAAGGCAAATCAGCATATTTCCCAAAATATAATGTACTATTACTTGAAATACCATGAAACCTGTTCCTTTAAAAAACAAAAAGAAAAGCTATCAGATATATAATCAGAAAGTAAAGTACATTTACTGAAGTTCTTTACTTACTTATCGGTGTTTTAATGTACTACAAGTGTGGAATTTGTAAGGATTCATCTGTCGTTATTCTATATTTTTCTTGTTGTTAACAAATACCATGACACAAATACCGTCATGACGTCAGCTAATAATAACATCAGTCTTATCCTGAACACAACTGCACTCATACAAACACTTACAGCTGTAATTGCTGGTTAACGAGCAGGTTTTTACATGTAATCATAGGAAAGCTCATAAAAAATGATGGACTCCAAGTGTTTAAACTTGCCAGTGTAACAGATATAAAATTGTTGGCCTTCAAATACATTTCAAAATGGAGGCCGTATGGAGTCCATTAAAACTTTATCTGTGCTCAATTTGTAGTGATTGCTTCATCGCTGCTTGATTGGTAATGTCTGTCACAGACTGAAGCCGAGTTCTTCTTCAGCATCAGATCCTCAGCAAGTTCACTCGTAATGTTTTAGTACATTTAAAATCAAAACTACTATACGTTTACTTGGAGTATGTTTATGTTGTACACTTATTGAATTTTACAGTGTTTCTATGTCTGGGCTGAATGTACGTTATGTTTTTAAGTTTAAACAACAACGGGACACTTGAATAGTAACAGACATTAAATCATTCACTCTGCAGTGAGCAGGACATTGAGCTTTCAGACACTGACAAATCATCATCATGTTGCATCATCTCCACCGGGTGTAGAGTCAAAACAATCCCACAATGCAACAGAGCCCATTGCATTGTGGGGATTGTCAGGAGGCGGAAGTGTACAAACCATGGAGACGCCTCCTTTTTTTCTTTTCAACTGTGTGGATTTTATAAGGCACGCATATTAGAGCTGCAACAGTTAGCTGATTAATCAATTAGTCGATCGAGAACTGATCTGTAACTAATCTGATAATGTGGCAAAGTGAAAAGATCCTCAGACAAAACAAGACATTTATTAACATCAACAAGGACTCTGGGAAAATATGATTTATGGACCAAACAATGAACGGATTGATCGCATACGACTGAGTAAAGCGGATGGATGTAGTGTAGAGTAAACAGGGAGAGATGTCAGACACAGCTCCAGTCTGAACTGTCTGATAACAACTTTATCAACTTAATACTGTGTGACAATACAACCGGGAGGATTACTGTTGTCACTGACACGTCCACTCCTCCTCTGGACCTCCCCCGGTTCTATCTCTCCTCTCTCTCTCTCTCTCTCATTTCAAGTCCGTCTCTCTCTCTCTCTCTCTCTCTGTCTCTCCGGCACATGTGCACAACATAGCAGTTTTGAGTGTTTCTGACAGCTTTCCAAGCAGACAGTGTTCCAGAGATTTATCACGGTGTGGCAGCGAACCCAGAGAAGCCAGCCTCTGAAATAAAACGACGTGCTGGACTCAGACTGGAAATAAACCTGTAATGCTCCTTTGGTAGGGAATATTCCACCTCTTAGAGCTCTCTTCCCATTAAAACACACACCATGTTGTGTTTTTATATTAGAATCAGAGTAATGTTGTGGGCACAGACACAACATTTTCATGCCAAACAGGAATCAAATTGTACGGTCAGGTGGAAGTCAAAGCAAATACTTAAAGCGAGGAACCAAAAAGTTATTTCAGCTGCATCTCAGAAAATACACACACACAAAAAAAAAATCATCTCCACACACACACACACACACACACACACACACACACACACACACACACACACACACTGTACAAAGTGATTTATGCTCATGAAAACAGAGACAGCACCAACTGCCAACTCCTTTCAATAAAATGTTATTTTGCCTTGTTATTAAATCGGCCTTTTCAAATATATATAAATCATTATTCAATCAAAACAATGATTTTTGTGTTTTATTTATCACAAAACAATCCTGGTCGAGGCTGCAGAGCCCTGATAAGAGTCAGACAGACCAATGCCCGTCATTCGATCACTATCAGCCACAATCAGCGACTCAAAGGTCCGATTGTTCTTCACCGGAGAATGGTGCGGTTCTGTGCAGCCGTGTTTACGAGGCACGGAGGCCGAGGAAACTCTCTCCAGGTCAGCTAATGTAGAGCGAAAATGTCACAGACAAAAATATAAGTCACAAACAATCACAAGAGCCCAGTGACGAGTCTGTCCTACGCTTGTTGCTTCAGGGCAGGAGATGCTTCATTCTGTTTTAGAATTAGAGAACGAATGAAGAAGATACTAATAAAAAATTAAAAAAAGTTACAGCAACAGTTGTCTGAGATACGACTCTACCAGCTTTTTTTCCCCAGAGCTTTCAACCATATCTCACAGTCTTCCTCAGCGGGCAGACTTGGCTCAGCTGTCATCATGTGACCTGGGAAACGGAACTTCGGTCACGTGATAACTGCATCGTAGCTCCGTCCGCTGAGGAAGACCGTGACATGCGGTTGAAAGCCCCACAAAAAGCCAATAAGTGGGCCTTCTGTTAGGATTTTTCTCGTCCAACAGAATTAAAAGTTTACAAATATTTTATAACTTTATAAACCAAAACATCATCATTGAATCTCTACTACTATTACTTCTACCACGACAGGCTGGTGGCTACAAGGAGAAACGGTCCATTACTGTCCGACTTGGGTTTTATTTTGGTAGCTCCAGGCATTAGTTGCATCAGATATGATAACATTGTACTTGTAAGGAACACAAGCCTTCAGGCTGCTTGTAAACAAACCAACAGTTTAGCCACATGATCTAAACCATTTTTATTTGGGAGTTAAAAACAAAAGTGAGCACAACCAACTGCTACTTAGTTATTGGCCCGTTAGACGTATTTTAACAAATGTTTCTGCATTCTGATATCGCAGTGATCCGAGTCGTATAATGTAGGGCAGCAATTAACATTTATTATCTTAAAATAAAAAAAAAAATTAAAACTCAAAGTCATCTTCACATATGTTGTTTTGTTCAAAGTAGTTCAGTTTACCATCATGAAAGACAAAGAAAAGCAGAAGGTTCTACAAACTGAGAAGCTCAAACTTGAAAAATCCCCTAAACAGTGAATGCATCATCAAAATAGTTGCTTGATTCAATTTCTGTTAGCTGCTAACTGTTTCAGCTGATGGCTGCAGCAGCAGGAATCAAACTGGTAATAAAAAAAAATAAGTAGTTTTAGCTTCAAGAGCTTGATATAAGAGAATGAATGATGTGGGTTTAGGCTTGTAAACGACCATACGGATCATATATGACCTTACCTTACACTCTCCATTGATGCAGATGTCCAGAGAGTCAGCCTGACACCGGGTGCCATCTATGACTGCAGGAGAGCGCTCTGTGTAGAAGTTATAGCCCTCTGCCAAGCAGTTCAGCGCACAGGGCTTAACACCACCTGGGTTACACAGAGTACACACAGACAAGAGCTCACGGTTATCTGCAGTACAGCCTGCACACACGAAACAGACAACATGACCTAATACACCCTAACAATACATAGAGACCAGCAAACACACTGGTGTTGTTCCAGGACTTGCAGCCAGCTCTGAAATCTCCTTTCGACTTGTTGACAATAATAATCATGTTGGGTGGGGGGTGGGGGGGTGGGGGGGGTCAGCGGAGCTCAGATGTAAAACCCCCGAACATGACGTCACTGCAAAAGCTGACACCATCAGAGACAACGCTGGCAACGACTACACTGACATCCACACACAGGTTATCCGCTGTTTTTACACGACAGCTCGCAGCCCGCAGAGCGCTGCAAGTCAGGAGGTGATGGATTTGACAAAACAGACCCGCGTGATAAAGGAGATGTAACTTTAGCTCTTCCATCACTAAAAGAAAATAAAAGCTGTGTTTACATGCTTCAAACTCTTATCACTTTTACTTTGAGCTATTTGTGTTTTTAGTTAAGTGGATATTTTCCATGATCTGCAGACATCAAGGGGAGGACTTGGGGGGGTGGGGGGATGGGGGGGGTGACACAAGGCCCGCACTGCGAAACTCCTGCCAATATCTGTGATAGTACAATAGCATTTCCACTCATTCTGGCTCAGGCAGATAAGTGCTGATCCAGAATAGACCAAAGAATGAGCTGCAGTCCTTCTCCAGGGAGATTCTTGACATGAGCTGTGTCAGGACATCTGTCCAAAATGTAAAATCTTCCAGGCTGGACCAGCAGCAGGTCGACCGGAGAGGGTCTTCGAACACAGCACAGTGTAAAGGAATCTGAAGAATCCTTCCCACTGTTGGTGTTAACTACACTGAGGGCGGCCTGCGGGCTGTCATTTGTGACACAAAAAATAAAAAAGGATGACAGCAAAGTTTTACAGCTCAGCACTGAAAAACATAGAGACTGGAAGTATGAAATGTTCAGGAGCGAGTGCTTCAAACCTGTAACTTAAGTGTTTATTAAGTGAGGAATTACACAGCATTGAATTAAAGCTAGTCGTGCCACAGGAAGTAGTTCACATATAGAGATTATTGCTAAATATTTACACCCACTAACCTGCAGGTGTAAATGTTGAGCAGCTAAATGAAGCAGCTAATGGAAAAAAGGGTAACTGTAGCTTTCTAGCATACGACCTGTTTCGACTGCAGACTAAAAGACGTACATGGAAATAAAAACATATCTGACCTGACAGTTTTTAAACAGTTCAGGAGAATGACACGCCATGCCTCAAACTACAAAATGTCGTGCTAATAATGTCAGACAGACGTAATGGCTAGCTAAATAGCTTCGGTTAGCTTAGCATAATCGGATATTTCCCAGTCATTTAAATTACAATGCAGAAAAATGACACACCACATACCTCAAACTACAAAATGCTATGCTAAAAAGGTCAGACTTAATGGCTAGGTAAATAGCTTCAGTTAGGTTAGCATAATAACTCATTCTAAACCGCATGACAACTATTAACTCTAAAGCTAAGTTTAAAATAAAGATTCACCCCTAAAAATATTATTTTCATTAGTCATTTTTGCATTTGTATGATAATTATCCCTTTGTACAATGTACAATCAATATTTCTAACAACCCCTAAACGTACCGTGGTTTGTCATAGTTTCATAGCTGCCCCCCTTTAATGATCTAATCACATCCCATGTCATGAACTCACCACCGGTGTAAGGCTTCCAGTTGTAGTATTTCCCACGGAAAGGCATGCTGTCGAAATCGGCGCACTGCTTCTCTCGAAAGTCCCGAGATCCCACAGGACAGGCCTGCAAAAAGGAAGAGTTAATATTTTACAACAGTGAGACGCTAACATTGATTTTCAACAGCCTGTTTATGACTAATCAGTATACTTGACATTGAAGCTAACGTTTGGAAAATAAACATGCAGCTGTTTCAAGCATCCAGTGGCTTTCTTTCACTTCTGTACTTGCATGAATTATCCAATTATCTTCAGTTAGCTTCAAATCATCACAGAGATCCATCAGATGGAGAAAGACCGACTTTTCTACTATGACATACATCTGTTGTTTTGCCTCTTTATATTTCATACACCCGTTATCTTTGATGTGGATCAAGAGTTCATGTTTATTTATGATATAAATGTCACAGCGGCTAAAACAGTGTCATTTATTTTTGCATGTTATTACCATTTAAAAAAATCCTTTCTATTAAAAAAGTAAGTAACAAAAAGAAAAAGAAACTTTCTCGAGTTGTTTAATCCATCACAATGAACATCAATCCTGCATCACTCTGTTGCCAAGGTCGCATTATTGTCGCAGAGTTTTGCTGACTGGTCGTTTGCTGTGATGGATTACAGAGCTCCGACAGGTTTAAAGCGTCTGCCAATCGATTTTATTATCACATAGAAATTAATAAAAGACAACGAATGCCTCAAACCACAGGAAAATGTGATTTGTGTTAAAGCAGCTAAAGCTTGCGAGCTCACTGGTGTGGTTCTTTAAAATCTGCTAGCTAGCATGCTGTTACCATTTGAGTAAGTGAATTATCTGCTGAGACTTTCTCTTTATTCTGGGAAGTTTTTATTTGCACAGACAACATCATTATTAATAACTGGACAAAGTCTGTCTAAAATGTCACATTTTATTTTCAGACACTAAAACAGACTTGTTTCTTGGAATTCCTAATTGAGAAAAGTGTGTTTTGCATTTGGAGAGATTGCTTTGTTTTCATGTGTGGATTTATGATGGATAATGAAGCACTTCTTTGGCCGGGTAATTAGAAACATAAACTGAGCCAGAGGAGGTAGAAGCCCAGCGCAGCTCAGCTCAGCGCAGGCTGGTGCAGACCTGGTTCTGGCTCTGGTTCTGGCTCTGGTTCCGGACTGACTTATCTGTGATGGGACTCCTCTGTGTGGATGTTGCTCCAGTAAGAGGAGGTAAAAAGTGGAAAAGAAGCACTTTATTGGTGTGAAAAGGTCCTTAGAAACCTGAAAACACTCTCCCCCAGGACAAATAAAAGCTCTCAGGTCAAAGCTGTATTTCACATGCTGAAAGCGTTCCACGTTTGGAGCGGGCCACAGGGAGGCCGAGCCACTTTCATTACCACTCAAGTGTTTCGCCAATATGGCAGCTTTCAACTTGCACATCAAACATGCAGATTGAGTCAGAAGAGACTAAATAATATTATTACAAGTGTGTGTTGAAATGACAACAAAGGCTCAAATGAGATTTACACGTGTTTAAAGGAGGAAAGAAAAAAAAACTTTAATGGGGCTGCAAGCGAGAATTATTTTCATTTTGAATTAACCTGTTGAATATCTTTTGATTAATAAAATGTAAAAATGTCTTAGAACATTAGTCCAAAACCCGAAGAGAAAAGCACCGAAGCCTTCTCATTTAAACAGCTGGAAGCAGAGCTCGTTCGGAGTTTCTTCTTCATGAATGACTTAAATGATTTATAGATTATCAAAACTTTGGTCTCTGTTGATTGACTTACCAGCACTTTATATTATATTGATGAATTTACATGTCAAAGTCAATTTACTAGTAATGAGGAGGACTAGAGAAGCTGTTGGAGGAGCTTCGGTCCAGACTGAAATATCTCAACAACTACTGAACGCGCTGACGCGAACTTTGGTAGAGATGTTCGTGGTGCCCAGAGGATTAATCTTGACAACTCATAATAGATCCTCTGATTTTTCCTGTGGCGCCGACAGCAGGTCAAAGCTTTCACTTCAATACTAATGGAAGTACATCACTAAACTGTTGGAGCGGCCCTTTAATGTCAGTTATGACCTGCGTCAAATGGGCTTGGAGCCAATCAAAAGACAGTACCTTCTTCAATAACTCTGACACGAAGCTTTATGCTAACGGGAGCAGCATTTTCATATGAAGCAACTTTCCACACGGCAAACATAGTAGTAAAAGGGAAGGGAGGGAGGCACCATTAACAAATATCTGAGCAGTGATCAGTGTAAAAATAGCCAGGATATAAACATCAATCTATGTGTGTGTGTGTGTGTGTGTGTGTGTGTGTGTGTGTGTGTGAGAGAGAGAGTATGTATCATTGTACCTACATCTGGTGATTTCTCTCTCTCTCTCTCACACACACACACACACACACACACACGCATACACACATTTCCCTGGACAAGGTGTGGTCAGTGTGATGAAATAGCGGTTAGGGGTGTTGTTTGTTTTCCAAAGAAAACACTCAGTGCTTGCTCTCAGCTGTTATTTTTAAGACTTGCGGTTAAATGTCCACCAGGGCCCTAACTATTTCAATTTTCACCTTGTGAAAAAAACGGCCACCTAGAAATAGTTGAACAGAGATCTCAACTTGCAGCCATGTTAAATATTTGTTTAAAGCGTTGCTCCAGACCTCAAAAAAAAAAAAGAAAAAAGGGGGGGGGGGGGGGGGGGGTCTGTGAATTGCTTTTCATGAAACACACTCTGAAACGGTCATCACCGTCGACTCGAGTGAAATGTCACAAACAATATGTGAACTATAAAGTGACGATACAGAGACGGATCGACCCAAAAGTCACCAGGGGGAATATTGATTCACAGCCTGTGCGTTTTTATCATCGTCTATCCGGCGTTCCAGGAAGAAAGCATGTCAGACAGCTTAAAGGTGCTGTGACGCTGTGACGCTGTGACGCTGTGACGCTGTGACGCTGTGATGCTGTGATGCTGTGACGCTGTGACGCTGTGATGCTGTGATGCTGTGATGCTGCTCGCCGCTTTCTGTCAAGCCTTTTCCTTAACAGAACATGTTCTGCAGCATCAGGCCCAATCCATCCCAGGTCAGGACGCCTCAACAAGACCAGCCTCCTCAGTCCCTTTATATTTAATCATTATTTAATCATGCACTTTAATTAGACATTATCTGTTTTATAATCTGTGTTTTTTTATACTGTTCCTGTACTTTCGTATTATGCTTCTAATTTAATTCTTCTTTTATTTCTGTTAAGATGAATTGCCTCTGTATCGTTACCGCAAAAATAAAAGTGCTCTACTGTCTTATTTTTGACTGATGCTCAGTTGTAGTATCTGTTATTAACTCTAAATTAAAATATAGATTAAACTTGTCCTCGGCCCTGAGTAGTGTCTGCAAGGATTGATTTTAGGCCCCAACAAGCCCCAGTGTGGTTGTTCCATATTATTATTATATCAGATTAAAAACACAGTTACATTCAGTGTTAAATTAACTTTACTACCGCACTGTGTGTCGCAGCATTACATCAGCTCAATGTTTCTATGCTGAAATTAGCTCCGACGCTAATTTATCATCATAATGTTGCAGGTTATCAAGTTATCAATATTATTTGTTTTCTTCACAAGCAATCACTAAACTAGATTATTTTGATTTGGCCCCTTTGTCATTCATGTTGACATCATTATATTCATCTAATCATAATATAATTTGGAATAATCAGCTTGTTACACAATAATAGTCCCACATCATAAAAGACTGAACTGTGTGTAATAGTGTAACTAACCAGATGACATTTGAACAACCACGATAACACTTTATTCTGCTACCGTGACAACAACGACACATAAATCATGATCTGTATTCGTCCGCCATTCAAATGTAGGTGCGAGGTGATCACAGGCGGCGGACATCCTCACTTCTTTGTCGCTGAAATAATATATAAGGGCAGTAGGGCAGGGTGGCTTGTGTGCGGCCTGAGAGGCGAAACCCAGGGCGAAACATATCACTCACTGTTGCTCATTAAGCTCGTTGCTGTGAGGGCACAGTGATAATTAAAGGCGACTCAGATGAGTGACTCAGATCTTCTCTCATTTAGAAGATGGCGGCTGCTCAGTAAGAACAATGTTCAGAGAGGCTTTAGCAGGAAAACTGTAAATCCACGGTGGATATCAAGCCCCTGCAGGAGTACACCTTCCTCTAAATACCAAATAAAACTAAGAAAAATGAGGAAACTCACGTCGGTGTTACAGGATCTGTAGCGTTTCCTCTCTCCAAGACAGTACTTGCCTCCTCCAGACGGACTGAGAGACACAGGAGAGTTGAATGAGCAGGGAAATTGAAAAGTGAGAGGACATGACATCTTCAACACATCAGCAAGAATTCACAAATCACAAATTTTCCTCAGAGAAATCACCTTTGGGATGAAGCGAGTACATTAGGAAAAAGTTTGGTGATAGCGGGTCGTTGAAACAGGCCTTAAAGAAAAGAAGAAAAAAGAAAAACCTCTGCCAGAAGTCTGTCTGCGTTTGCTGCTTTGCCAATGATTCATTCATGAAGTCCAAGCTGCTCTGAGAGCTCCTGAGTGTGACATGACATTTAGTTTTGGGAGAGAGACTGAAGCGAGTAACCTCAGAGCGATTCTCTCTACTCGCTCTAACTCTTCACGTCTACTACGTCTCTTTAAAGGAAAGGTTTGTTTTCCTGCTCTTATCATCCTCTGCCTTCCTCTCACCTTCATTAGCCTCCTTTCCCTCCATCACTATTTCCACTTCACTGAAAAAAAAAAAAAAACACCAAACCCCTGAGACGGGCTCCGTAATGAACGTGTTAAAGGTCCGACTGTGTTTTCTCTGCCTCCCTCCTCCTCTCTGCGCTGATGCCTGAGCGGCAGAGCGATCACCTTACACAGGTGTTCCACATTATGCCGGTGCCTTCTCCTCTCCCCCCCCCCCCCCCCCCCCCCCCCCCCCCCCCCCCCCCCCCACCCCCCCCCCCCCCCCCCCCCCCCCCCCCCTCCCCCCCCCCCCCCCCCCCCCCCCCCTGCCCCCCCCCCCCCCCCCCCCCCCCCCTCTCTTTTTTCTCCCCTTCCCTCTGGTTCACCCTGGCTCTTTTCTCGTGTCTTCCCATGACGTGTTTCACGTGGATAAAGAGCCCAGACGTCTAGCTGCCAGACGAAGATGCTCTGGACAGCGATTTGTCTGGTGAGGACACATGGGAGGCCTTGAAACAAAACTACGCAGCACTATAATCTACAGTACAGAGCGAGCTGTGTCTTTTTATAACTGCACATGCTCCGTCACTGAGTCCATCTCAAACTGCGGGAGGATAAAAACTGACCTAGAAGCAGCCGTCACGGATTGAAACTGAAGCTAGAGCCTTAATATTCATCATGATATTGTTGTTATGGCGCTAAAAAGCAGCTAATGTGGTACAACATTTGTATTTATAATGATTTTAATGGGGTGTGTTTGCCTTGACTGATAGGCGCAACTGTGTCTGACGCTCTGAAGTAGTGGAGCTTTCGCCCCTTTGCTCAAATGTAGATTTTTCCGACTGATGCAGATGGAGGTGAGCAGCAAATCCAGGCTTCAAATCAACTCTTTCAAAGCCCCATGTGCGACATCACAGCCACTATGTCTATATTTTTCGTGTGCCGTATACATTATGCTGAGGTTTACATGCTGAACTTGTTAACAAACCAGCAGTATTATCCATCTGGTGTCGTGAGCCTGCAGACCTGGGGAAGGTAAATCCAGTATTCCCTCTCTTTTAGCTCCGTTTTTGGTCTCCACCCACTCACAAATCAAACATCTGGCCCTCCAGCTGCTACATGCTCCGCGATGTTCTGCAGCTGCTCTCTCACTGTGTCCGTCTGCTGCTTGCTGCAGAGCAGAGGGACGTGAGCGGGAACCAGAACAGTAAAGTTGTGGGTCGGACGGATAAACAACGAGCTGAAACTTTAGATCCGGGTGATAATTCCCTGTAGATTCGATTTAGCATTGACGTTTGATTGTTATTCTAAAAATACTGACAACAGCCAGTGGTGAGAAATGTTTCATGAACACAGTGCAACAGTAGCACAATTAGCAAACATTAGCTGACCATAAACTACTGGTCACACCAGACTAAGAGAGGCTGTAGTGCACCTTTAGTTTTTCAGTTATTTCTTCTTTCAAAAGTTCCACGATCTCACGTTAAAGGCCTCATGAAACCAAAACATAATCAATCCCTTCCTTTCTATGAAGTGCCTTTATGTCTCCTTTCTTTCTCCAAAACTTATTGAAACATCACATTTAAGAAGTGAGGACAGCATTTGATGGGATCTTTAAAGCCCTGTGTGACGGACTCGTGCATCCTGCCTGGTGCTTGCAGATCGCAATGGATCAATATGAAAGAGTAATGAGATTGTTCGCACCACTGCACTGAACATTACACCACAGATCAGAAAAGGCCTTTTTGACGAGTCAGGAGTTCAGTTGAAAAAACAAGTGGAAAAAAGAAAAGTTAACACTTTAAGAAAACATCATCACATTGAGCTTTAAAGGACAAAATATTAAGGCTGTATTTCCCCCCAAAGGAAGGAGAGATTCACTGTAAATGTTTCACTACTCTAATTATCTCTACTCCCACTCAGATATAACACACATCCACACACACACACACACACACACACACACACACACACACACACACACACACACACCTGTAGGCAGGACCTGGATGTGTGTGTTCAGCTTGCTGTGGCTTACTTTGCCTACTTACGCTGGGCTGTCACAGTGCCTCATGGAGGAGGATACACCGCCCCCACAGGTCCTGCTGCACTCCCCCCACAGCGACCAGGGCCCCCAGCCTCCGTCCACACTCTGAGGCCAGGTACCAAACGCAACACACTCCCCCTGGTAGCACCACTGGCCGGGGAGGAGCAGAAGCACAGACAGACAAGGGGTGGAGGGGGGAGAGACTTTGGTTATTATATATTATTGAATCATTTCTTTACAACAACAAAAGAAAACACTGAGACACATTAGAGTCTTCAGTTAAGGTGAGACTCACAATAACATACAGCACAGAACACTCAGGTGTCAGTTTTACAGGTTTCCAACAGTTATGAGCTCAGTGTGAATTTATGTGCATCTGTATATAATGAAATGTAGACTACACAAAACCGTCCAGGCTGTTTTTCCTTCAGCGACACATTCTCTCTCTCTCTCTCTCTCTCTCCGTCTCTCTTTAAAAACACACACAAAGAGTAAATTGTGATCACACCGTCGCCCACCCTATAATTTCATTTCCGCATTAGTCCTGTTATTTCTTCTCTCTCACCTGTCATTTTCCATTTTGTTATTGCTGCCCTGGTTTCCTCCTCGTTGAGCTTTATTTTATTGTTGTGCAGTTTATGTGACTCAATTCACTCTGGTCCTGCTTGTGGTTACAGGAATATTTTTATTTTATGTTTGTTTCATTGCAGCAAAACTAAGAAAGAACACAATCTACCTCCTAAAGAAGAAATGTTAAATTCATAAGCAATACAGTCAGGGGTTTTTCTGCTATAGCCTTAAAGGTCCCATATCATCTAAAGGTGTCTGTCCATGTGTAGTGTGATTATAGATCAGGTCTAGCTTCTATATTAATACAGTGAAAGTATCAAAGCCTCAGTCCACAGAGAAATGCACACAGCCTGTATTCAGAAACTGAGCCTTAAAACCAGCCGTCAGGACTTCCTGTAACTTTGTGATGTCACAACAAAGCAGTCACCAAGCCCCGCCCACCTGGACCCACCATCCAAACCTTGCAGGATTTGGTTTCTCTGAGTGTTTTTACCTGAAATCTGCTATATTTTTATTGGATCACTCAGAAAACAGTCAGCCAATCAGAAGAGAGGCTCAGAGCCTCCTCTCTTCTGATTGGCTCACAGAGCTGATGTTACTAGAGCTCCAGAGAGAAGCCTGAGAGAAGAGATGTAAAACTACACTGAGATGGTTTTTGGTTCTTAAAACCACAAATATATCTTCTTATGGATCAACACTTCAAAATAAAACACAGGAGAAGAGTAAAACATGGGACCTTGAATCTAATATGACCTATAACTTATGGTGGCTAATGTTAGCTAATGCTAGCAAACGTCAGGTAACTATTGCTGAATTACAGACATTATTGAATCAGTTCACTGACTGTTTTTTTGCATTTGGCATTGTTCAATATTTGACACTTGTGGCTGTTTAAAGTAGGTGGGTCGGGATGTGTTTAGCCTAGCTTAGCTTAAAGACAGAGTCAACCTGGCCTCTGTCCAAACTTCAAAAACACACAAAATTCAAAAGCTTATTAATTAACATGTTGAATTTTTTTTTGTTTTAACGTAAAAACAACAATTTTTGGTTTTAAGGCGGAGTTACATGATATGACCATTTCTCAGTAGTCAAGCAATCTTCGTGTTTCGAACCGTTTGTCAAACAAAACGAGACATCTGAAGACATCATCTTGGAGAAAATGGGATGGACATTTTTCACTACTTTCTGATTTATTTTATTTTGTTTTATATTAACTGTCCGAGCAGTGAAAGCTAATAAGAAGATTTCCCTGAACACTGGAGTATTCCTTTAATCTGTGCATTTTCTTTGTCATTTAAACAAAACTTTCTTTCCTTAAAGCATTATGTTTCCAAAGCTTTTGGTTTAATGTTTGCAGTGTACTGTGGGGTGTTTTCAGAGGCAGGTGAGGGATGGAAAGCACTGCCCGGCGTGTCAGGAGTGTTTTAAGCCTCATGTTAAGCTGCCCAGAGATCCAGAGGGAAGAAGGGATCAGAGACAGCCCTTTGTCTCTCCAACTGTGTCAGTAGGTTAAGAACCCAGAGAGACTGGGACAGTCAAGGTGAGGGCTACGTTGGGCCACTGTCCTCTTTCTCAGAATTACTCATTCACGTCCTGAGACGCTGTCTAAACAAGATTAGCCGTGGGAGAGAGGAGAGAGGAGACAGAGAGATGGGGAGAAGGACGGAGGGATCAGGACACAGGAGGGAGGAAGATAAACTCTGCTTTCTGCAACAACCCTGGAGTATATATCTTTGAGTCAATCTGAACACAGTAAAAACATTTAAAAAAACACTTCTCTCTGTTGGTCAGTTTCGGCCTCTCTCCCTCCTCCCTCTGCCCCCTCCCCCCGTTCTCTGCCTCCCTCTCTCCCTGCTCCTGTTGGAAGGGCCTCTCTCCATTACACGCTGGGTGAGAAATGGCTGACATTCATATTCCTTTGAAGCTGTCCCCGGCAGGGGCAGACAGGGTATGCCACTGGCTCTCCTAAAGCTGTTCCAAAAGCTGTTCCAAAGCCCCCCAGGCTCAACCTGGGGCCCCCTGTGTTGTCCAGGACCCTGTCCGTGGGCCCCGGCCCTCAAAGGCTCCACTGAGCTAATGGTAATCACGGGTGACAGCTCGTGACACTCTCCTATTCTTCCCTTTTAGACCTCGGACCATCCAGTGACAATGGCTGCCATAATCCGTGTTAAAACTGTCTCTCCTAACCTGGCTGGCATCAACAGTGGGCTGATGACCTAAAGCCTGGCCTGCTTGCGTGTGTGTGCATGTGTGTGTGTGTGTGTGTGTGTCTGTGTGTGTGTGTGTGGTAGCACATTGCATGAGTGCACACTCAGGGAACAGTACCCCTTCCCAGAGTGGAACAGATGCAAGCTGAGGCAGTGAGGTACCACTACTGAAGTGCTCATTTCACATTAGCAGGTGCTGCACTGTGTGAGCAACGGCTGAAGGGTTGGTCCATGCAAATTACAAAAAGACATATCTGTGGTGGGATCCAGCCACACTCATAGGTTTGGTTTTATTTGCGATTATCAGAATTGAATTTATTTGAATTCTAAGATTTCTGCCTCCTTTCAGAGAGATGAGGTCATTTCATTTGTTTGTGTTAAAAAAATTACATTAAAAAAAATGCAACATCTCTTTCAAGAAACAAACTGCCACTTACTCTGACAATCAGCAGAAGGAGCTTTCAAGACATTTTCACGGGGACTATTTCTTGGGTAGAAAGTAGCGCCACTGAAATGTGCTCGCAGCGAGGTCTGTGGATTATTCAAAGGCCTGATCACACCAGCATTAGTTGTGTCTGATCAACTCAACCTTATTGAGCGTTTTAACTATTCTGTTAACAACAACAACAACAACAACAACAACAACAACAACTCTGCAAGAACTACGACCGACTTGAAGGTTTTGTTGTAATTGCTCAGTTGTTATAGGGTGTTGATATGAGATATACAGCATCTGCAGCGTATTCTCGGTCCACCCCGGGGTCTCCTATCAGTTGGACGTGCCCCGCAAAACCTCCAGTGGAAGGTCACCCAAGAGGCCTCCTGATCAGATGCCCGAACCGCCTCCACCGCCTCCATTCAGGGTGAAGGAGGAGCCGCTCTACTCCCTCCGCATGTCTGAGCTCCCTGCCCTAACTGTAAGGAATCCTCATTCTTTCTGTTCCCAACAGCTCATGACATCAGCTGAGAGTTTGAACGTAGATCGAATGGTGTTCAGACTGGAATCCACGTCGGTCCTTCGTGGATCTGAAGTCTCTCGGCGTTAAGCTTTCCCGGGGAGGCCGAGCAGCACCCTTTTAAAAAATACGGGGACCTGCACACGCCCCCGTCTGCCAACTCGTCCATCAAACATCAACAAATTGGGGGGAAAAAAAATCCAATTACAAGTTCCCATAGTCCAAGATGACGTCTCCAACTGTCTTGTTTTATTCAAGTAAAACCTTAAACCCCAAAATAAGAGTTTGTAATCACAGAGGACTGAGAAAGTCAGTAAGTTTATGGATATTTTTTGGCATTTTTGCTTAATTAAATAACTTAACGAGTAATCGATTATCAAAATAGCCTGTGATTCATTATCCGTTGATTATTTGCTATTAACTGTCAACAAAAACCTATTTGTCTGCAATGTTTTGAGTTGGAGGAAGAAAACTCCCTAAAATCCCACCGACACCGCTCGGAGTAAGCAAGAATATGATGGACGTTTGTTTTTGGTAATTCAGGTGAACCGTTACCTGAAGGGGGAGACACTCGGTGACTTACCCCTTTCTCGATGCTGCCGGTCTGGCACAGAGTCCCCTCTGCAGCCGGGATACTGTTTGTTACACAGCGGTTGCTTTTGCTAAGGCACCAGAGCTCTCTACACACTTCCTAGGAAAGAAGGCAAAAGCAAGTTGGTCAGAATAAATCAATTCAGCAGACTCGGGGGAGGGGGGGGGGTGATAAATCAGTAGGCTTTGGTGTTTTTTTTTCTCTTCTTCACTTTGACAGCTGTGAGATAAATAATAAAAAAAAAAACATCATAAACAGCATGAAATTCATCGACAAACCTACACGATTCCAGATCAAACCAGAGGATGAGAGGGAGTCGGCGAGACCACATCAAGACTGCTCGGAGGCATCTCCCTTCAAGAGCCCATGTGCTTTGGATCATAGTGCATCTTGAGCAATATGCCAAGGGTCACTGGGTGCTCTTAATGTTCTCTTATGAGAAATGAAGAGTCGGCTGGATCAACACCATGACTAACGTTTGCTCACGTTCACCTCAGGACCACACGGGACCGTGACATCAGTTCAAGAAATCCCATTTCTACTTCTTAGGGGAAATCAAGAGTGAGCAATAGGCCTCCCAAGTCTCAGATAAAGACGACTTGTAGGCCTAACAAATATCTTTAGTATTACTGAGTGGTCTGAACAAACATATCTCTGTCCTCTCCTCCTCACTCCTCAGTCTGGGACAGAAGGAGAATCCATTTAGATTACTGCAGGAATGGAGAGTGTTTGAGAGACAGAGACAGAGAGAGATAGTGGGGAGACAACGCTAAGTTGCCCCCAAATAAATAAAAGCATAAAGTGAACACATGTTACAAGGACAGCTCGGCACAACCTCGCATTAGATTTCCCATTAAACCCGACTGGGTCGCCTTGCGTTTCGACTTCAAAGGCTTTTTACAGGACAATTGTTGAACGGCAGAAGAGCAGCCCCCATGAAAAAGAGTTATGATCCCACGCACAGATTCTGACCCCCGGGGTCAGTAAATACGCCACGGCCCTGCAGCTCCCTGAGCCTATCCAGATTAAATAAAGCGGCAAACTGCCACTCTCTGGTTGCAGCGACTCCCCTCTGCCAGCTGGTTTCAATAAACCGCCCCACCGCTCCATTCACTATCTCAGCCCTGCTGAAAGGTCAGCGGCCCGGGCCTTAACCAACATGGATGTGGGCCTGATGGATTTATGCTAAGAGGGAACAGGACGGCGAGGGGCAGGGGCACTCAGCGAGGGCCTCGCTAATATAGTCATCAAAGGTTGTTTGTTTTTCATACCTTCAGCTTCCAGTGTCGCTCAGGTTTGAAAAACACTCAGGATTTTATAGTGTCACCGAGAAGCAGGAAGAAGTCACTAAAAAACAAATTATTGCTATAAATGACGCTAATTTCCTCTCTTGATGTCTGTGTTACTTTTCCCGTCTCTCACACGGTCTCACGCTGTGATTCACAGTCGGTGACACCCCTGCGGTTCAAGGATCTCTAAAGTCTCTCAATTTTATTTGAAGGTCCCTGAAGGCATCATGGCACGGGTGGTTCCCATATAAGAGATATAATATCAATATTTTAGTTTGATTTGTGAGAAGTTAAAGTTTATTTTCCCCTTTGTGTTATTTAAACTGGTTTATAGTTGTTGTAATCTCAGTCTGGCATTGGCACCACTGGAGTCCTGCAGCCTGCATGGTCTGAAAGCAGTTTAAGGGCTATATGTAATAAATTGAAATGTTATTTTTTACCTTGTTAGTCAACAGTTATCACTTCCTGTGCATCGAACATACTAGTCCCTTGTTAATCTCACAGGAGTGAAGCAGGCGCCGACTCATGAGAATGTAGTCTCACTTATCATTTGGGAAAACCTCCAAAAGTTATGAAAAAGTATCCCAGAGTATCACAAGCTGCCCAAAACCATATTTCATCAATCAATCATTTCTTTCTCTGATATTGATTCTGATATTTCAAAAGAAACGACGCAATAATTAGAAATAAAACGTCGTAGAGAAAATCATCTCATGACTGTGAGAGGTCGGGAGCCGCTGCTCTAAACTGCTGTTCGCACCAGTTGGACGAAACACACCAGGATATGTGTGATGGTAAATCTCCACCCTGTCCCGAAGACGGATGAGTGCGTTGTAGATTTGTGTCCAGAACTTCAGTTTGTTGTGGTCGATAAAAAACGTACAAATCATTTTGTTATCTCACAGACTAAGCCTAAGGAATGGTGTCTTAAGCAACATGTTTTACCCGTGAAATATTAAAAACTACAATATGACCGTTTTGACATTATTTATAGATATATTAGAGATAAAAATGTGATATATTCAGCCTAAACGTCTCTGCCTTTCCCATCGCCGTTCCCTCTGTGTTCGTCCGCAGCGCAGAACGATTAGAAAACACACAAACTACTCATCCAAATGTGGAAAAGTTCAATAGGTTACGGCTGAGCGTTAGCTTCACAAAACCAGACTCTTCCATTCATTAGACCTTTTTATCCATTTCTGTGGTCGCGCCTGTCCTGTAAAGCAGTCGCAGAGGGCATCTCTTTCACAGATGGCTGCATGAAATAGATCTGATTGTCAGATGAAGAACTCCAATCGAGCTCTGTTGAATCACTGCTGGAATCCAATCCGCTCATAAATCTCATAAATGTGTGTCTTTCATGCTGATCTGAAACCACAATTATGAGCTTAGGAGCCAAAATAACAGGGTTTGATTCGGGGCCTGTTATAATCCGCTGTCAGATATTTCTTTCAATGAAATGAAATAACTGTATGATCTCAGCTAATCTCTGCCTCCTTTTTTTCGCATCATGTGCCCCAAATATTTATGCGACGCAAAAAACAATATCACGTTCTTGTTCATTAAACCTTCGAGGATCCTTTCGACCGCTCGTTTTCAGCGTGCGGTTGTTGCTCGTCTTTCACTGCCTGTGTCGCTTTTATGCACCAAGGTTTTCTCATTACTCGGGCAGGAGGGTGAATCATTATCATTACAGGCTAAAAAAAAAAAAAACACACACACACACACACAGATGAGGGGAGTGCTGACTTCAATCCTTCATCTCTTTGTCTGGGACGTTTATAGATGAAAAAGAAGAATAAGGCAACGTGCGGAAAGACGCCTCCAAACCCGCTCTAATTGTCAGACAATAATAAAACAATTACCTTCCTCACATGTTTTACCTCCCTTTAATCTCAACGAGGAAATATAAACTTGAAGAAAGCTGTTATTATTACCTTATTACCCACAGGGGGATTTAACAGGCTTTCATCAGCTCAGCTCTCTTTTCTGTATACCTCACTGCGTTTAAGTCACTGGGATCATTTTTATGTCAAGTACAGGGATTAAACAATTTAGTAAATTAATTAACTGTCTGTTTATAATTGATTAATCAGTCATTTTTGAAGCGCTAAATGTCAAACATTTCCTGTTCCCAGCTTCTCAAATGTGAGAATTTGCTTGGCTTTGCTTTGCCCTCTGCATCACACCGCATTTATAATCTCTATCTTAAGTGTCACTACATTGTATGCTATCCGCTGAGGGTATAACGCTAACCGCTATCTGCTTATGTCACAAAAATATTTGCATTCAGATTTATACAGAAAGCGGACGCTGCCAATAAGAACTGCGTTATTTTCTGTGTTAAATTGTTTTCTACTGCCAGTTATACTCCTCATACAGTAAGTTTAGCTGTCAACAAGATATACAAAGTACCATCATATTCTAACCATAATAAAATAATAAAACACAGCTTGTATTTGAACCCTCAATAAAGTCTAAAGTATGTGTAACGATCCAAGTGGGAATAAATACTGGAAACAGAACCTGCGTGATTTCTATTTGAAAAATATGAGGTTTTGTACGTAATGGGAAGAGGCCTGGATGAAAATAAAGTTGGTTCTGATAAAAAAAAAAAAAGATAAGAAACCTGTTAAAAATCTGACAAGCTATTTCAGCCAAGCACTTTTGAGACAATCCCTAACGTCAGCTGCTCAGTTTCCACATTCACTGCGAGGTTCAGGTAACAATGACACCTGTAGAACGTCAGTCAGGTGAAATGAAACTAAAGCTTTGTATGTGTTTTTAGTTTGGATTACATTTATACTGAAGAAATCTGATTATTATGATGTAATTATGAGCTAAGCGCTTTTTATCAACAATTTCTTGGCAGCAACTAACAACTTTTTTCATTATCGGTTAATTCGACAATTATTTTCTCTACAATTAAAACTGTGTCTTAAATTTCCTAAAAGCCTTAAAGACATTCTGTTTTATTATAAGACAAAGAAAAGAAGGAAATCAATTTAGTATTTTTGTTTGAAACATGACTCAATGATGAATCTCTTCAATCGATCGATTAATCAGCTGATCTTTTTCTCACTCTGATGGTTTATGGACGTCTGATCTTGACGGACATTGGAGATGCTGACACCACTACATGGTGATGCGGGAGTTCGGCTGAGCCAGTCGTGTTTGATCGTGTTTTACTGCAACAATAATGTGTTTATATTTGTTCACAACCTTACAGTCCTTTCAAAATAAAAGCCGGTGCGGGTGTTTCAGCGACACACCATCCCGTGTTTCCAGAGCTGCTCCAGGTGAAGCGTATAACAGAGACGGCTTTCTGTCAGTGGGAAGAGAACAAGTGAGCAGCAGCGCGGCGTGAAAGATGCTGGTTTCTTACCCCATACTTGCACTGGCGTGAGGAGGCTCCGTACTGGAAGCGACACTGCTCGTCTGCATCGTACACCTGCCCCGGGGCCACTGTTGGGTACAGGAAGTCTCGTTTCAGAGGTTCATTGTCCAGACACGTCCCCCGACCTGAGCTGTCAAAAAAACAAACCTACAATAGGATTGTTTCTTACACAAAGGAACCTTTCTACACGATCACAGCCCCCCCCCCCCACCACCACCCCTCGCACCCGCCTCTTTGCTTTTAGACCTTGGCTGGTGTCATTTGACTCGTTTAATTTTACCACCAAACTACCACTGTAGGAAGCTTGTCAAAGATCCAGAATGACATGTAATTAATGTTGATATCACACATCAACACCTCCTCATCAAAGGGAGTGTTGAAGCACAAGCAGAGACATTTTACCAGAGGCGAAGAGGGGCGGGCTGTCGGCCGATCCGCCCGTCTTAAAACACAAACCCTCTCTGATTATACGGCTCTGTTCTGTATGTCACTGCTTATACTGAATCCACAGAGGAGCCAATAAAATGACAGAGCAGGGAAAGGAGGAGAAAAATCTGGAGTGAGCTATGGGTCATATGTCCAGGCCTACGATTATGTTTAGTCTGTTTTGTCAGATAGAAATATGTGCACTCACAAAGAACTCACAGAGGAAAAACACACACCCACACACGCACGCACACACACACACACACACACACACACCAGTTTTGTATTCAAGTAGCTAAACTGTAAAAACACAGTCTTGTGTCTTTCGTTGGTGTGTGTGTTTATTCTGCGTTAAGATGCTGAGCTTGTTTAACTATCTGAGCTGCCGAGGGGCCGACACTCGGCTCGCGCATTAAAAGTTTTTTTGCGTTATTCTTTTGACCCTTTGACCTTTTTCATGTAAGAGACTAAAATCATGCTAAAGACAAGTGCCAATAAACAAACACAGATGTATTTCATTTTGATCCCTACCCCCTCTGCTTCTCCCTGAGTCAGAGGATTCACTCAAGGCAAAATATTACTACGAATATTTACTATAACACTGTGCTCTTTTCCAGCTGTGGCAGCTGCAACATGCAGTGGAATGCTTCCCATCCCTCGAAAGGAAAAGTGGGCCTGGTGACAACAATAACGTAGAGCGAGGCTTTGTGATTGAGCAGACTTAAACTTGGGCCCAGAATACAAGAGAGGAGAAGATTGAAGACTGAGACTAAGAGTAAAAAAACTCACTCACTTTAAGCCATGCCGATACTTCTGAGTTATCCGTCTCTAAGATTCATGGCTCTACCTTGATACAATGGAGTTGAATGGAAATTAATTGGTTGGTGCTAACAGCGTTAGAAACTCTTGCACCCTCCTACTCCAGGAGGGTGCGTCTGCAGTTGCCAGGGTACATGGAAAGATAGTGGAGTAGCTCAGTTAATTAGGAAACAGTTTCTGGAAAGACAAGCTGCTTTTAGAAATTATTTTAATGCATTTTTTCAAAGCTGCGCGGATTGTAAAAAGCGCTCTGCTTGCAATGGCTGGAGGAAAGTGAGGGTTTGTCTGAAATCACCCTTTAATGTCACTTCACAGACTATGTTGAAAGGACAAATCTCCACCTCTCATGCACTTCCAGCCTCACTCAGCTGGCCATGAATCCATTACTGAAGCTAAGGTTGTCAAGTCCTTTCTAAGTTTTTAAGAGCTACTGATTTCCTAAATCCAGCAGCACTATTAAAGGAACAGTTATTTGGGAAATACGCTCAATTGCATTCCTCAGTCATGATACTAATTATGTAAATATACTGTATTAGTTATCATGTATGTGCTGCTAGTTATTATTAAACAGCAAAACCAGGCAGGTTTATATTATATTAGCAAGCTAACGTTAGCTTTCTCAGTTAGCTACGCAACTGTTTCTAACTTTTTTAACTTGAGTGATGTGTCTCTACTCATTAAGCACTCACATTATAATTAGGAACAGCTGGTGCAACAGTCTTCTGATGTTGAAACAGCATGGTAATATATTTTAATGTTGTTTTGTGATCTCGTTTCTCCCAGAAAGATTTGATGAAAACGTGCATTTTAAGTGACGGAGAACTGCACGGTCCAAAGATCTCTATCAAATATGAACTTTTCAGACAGTATTGAAGAAAATCAGAGATCTAATACATGCTGCTTGGTTTTATTCCAGAGGAACAAATATAAAAATGCATTTTAAGTGGAATTTTAATGTTCCAGACCGAAGAGGAGCGAACTCTTTCTTCCTCCCTTTTTTCCCCCTCTCCTCCTTCTTTCTGTTGTCTTTCCTCCTCCCTCCATTCTCATTTACTGAATGGAATAATCCTATTTTCTTGGCTCTTGTTCCTCGGAGGACCCTCTCATCATAGAGAGAGCCTCTGAGGCCGCCAGACTCCCCGTGCACCGAGGGCAAGCCTCACTATTTATTGGTTCGGAGAGAGACAAAATAGTCAAAGTTTAAACATAGAGGCTATTATTTGACATTGTCGCGAAGGCTTCCTGTCCGGCGGATTCAGCCAAATTCATTATGCTGAGCGGAAATATCCTTTAATAAGCGGGAACATCAGCGACCCCTGAACTCTGACACCGGTCATTCATGTAGATATTAACCATAATGGTTGGACCCGACCAGTGGTGAAACAGCAGCAGGATTAAATCAAGACTAACCTAACAATTATCACAAGGCACAAGTCACACAAGTCTAATATCAAATTCAATAGAGCATGTGGTCTCTGAGAGTTTAATAGACCCAAGCTGCCTGCCTTTTAACATTTATGGCAAACTGGCATGAAGACTTGGGAGAATAAACTATGACTGAACTGTGAGTGCATTCATAAACCATTCCTAAAAAACCCAAACAAAGCACCACATATTGCTCGAGCAAGACAGTGAATCTAGGCCAACACCACAGCCAAAGTTGTTTACTTGGCAGGGAGAAGCATGTGCGATATCCAAAACTCTGATTGAGGGAGAGAAAGGGAGGATAATTGGAGTTTACAGACAGAACCCTTTTGTAAGAAACATAAAAGCTAAATGCAATAAAAACCAAAACTGAAAAGACAACTCAAGCAGTAGACTGATACAGATGGGGGGGGGGGGGGGGGGGTGGGGGGGGGGGGGGGGGGGGGGGGGGATAACAAGCAAAGCAAGAAGTGATTCTGCTTAGAGACGAAAATGTAAAACAACTTTCCTTTTTTCTTTTTTTTTTGCTCGGTCGTCCTCGGACACTCGAGCCAGAAATGGACAGGAACCCGACGGAGCAGCAGAGAAGCGGCTCTTTGTGTCCCAGATGGAAGCTGGCATATAATACTGTCATCTCTGTCACAAGTGCTGCTCACTAACCCTCCTCTAACAGCTTTCAGCCGGAAACATCATCTGACAACCACGGCAGCTATTATCCGCCTTCTTGGAGGGCCCTGCTAACTAAACACGAACGCACAAACAGACAGACACACACACACACACACACACACACACAGACACACTGCAGTCTTGCAACGCATCCAACCAACACTTCACAGCAAGGTTGCATATTAGCATTTACAAGCAGCACTCAGGTCTTAGTGATGAGCCGAGCTAAACTGAACCCGGATGCATGCAGGTTATTATACAACAGCAATGTTAGCGCAGCAGTACTGACAGACTCTGTTACGCTGGAGTGTGACCTCTGACCTCCTGTGGAAGGAGAGTAACAGTCGAGGAAAATAAGTTATAATCCTTCAGACTTTCATTGAATAAAACCCCATTTTTAATATTTTTGTTAGATTTTTCTGCCTTTACACGCAGTAATCAGCTCTGAATTTGGCAGTTTATATTGTTAGTGGGGGGCGGGGCCGTTCCCATGCTGGAATCTGATTACCTACTTAAGCACAAGGGATTCACAAGAAAATCCAAATGTTATCTCATCGATAACTTCACTACTAAAGCTTCACTTTTACTGCTGGTGCTTCACAATAAAAGCATTCCACTGGTGAAAAACTGGGAGGCTTTTATTGTGAAGCCGCTGCAGGAATTACAATCAGTCTGGTTTTTTTTGTGCAGTGGTGACACACACACACACACACACACACACACACACACACACACACACACACACACACACACACACAAAAAAAAATGTCGTTCTTTTTCGTCAGCGGATCAGTTTCAAATATTGCAGGGAGTCAGACTGTGGCTGCAATTACTTTTGACTGACATCTTTATTAAAACAACGTGATTGTGTTTGGCTGCACCGTAAACAGAAACAGAAATACCAGCTGGTCCTCTGCTTTCTGACCAAGAGGTCAATGACGGAGTGTTTGCTGTAGTATTAAACTGGGTGTCTCCATCATATGATTGCAATTTGAAAGGCTGCAGGGTGCAATCAGGGAACCGCACCTGTTCTAGCAGAAAAAGACGATTTAAGTGGACTCCTGTTCCCCAACACGAGAGCGCGTTTAAGACAGCGACGCTTCCAATGTTAATGTCCTGACATGAACCGATGAACTGGCTGTTGTGTGTGTTTGTGTGTAACTTTAAGAGCAGTCACACCAGCATTAACACCTTCTTTTGGGCCACATAAGGGTTGTTGCAACAAACTGCAAACACACACACTGACGTATTATCACCTTGATATAGTTAATATAGTGAAAAGTCAGTTGTCTATTTACTTATTCAGGCGACATGTAGCAACATAAGCATTTATTTGGAGACGTGTTTCTGGTGACCTTGTGAATCTAAGTCCACTTTTCACTGGACTGGATTTTAGCTCTGCTTTGTTCTCCACAACAGTGATTTAGTCTTTCAGCTGTTTGCTGCTGAGCGAGTTGTGTGCAGCGGGTTTATCGGCACTTTTTCCACCTAAAACAGCTGCAGTCTGCTGCATGTAGAAACAACACAGATGTTAGCAGTGAGGCTGAACCAGAACAAACCCAAAACATTTAGCGAAAAGACACAATAAGTGACCCCTTTCTCATTATACACAATCATTTCATCCATTGTTAATAAAGAAATTTGATTAGAGCACCTTAAATGACACCATGACTCACTCAGAGCTGTGAGTGTTGCACAACGTCTGTCCACCAGAGTCAACGTGGCTCTTTGCAATAGTTTACAGCCGTCCCGCCATCGCTGCGAGCAGGCAATTTCAGAGAGTTGCTGAGGAATCCTTGACCTCATTCTCTGGTAGTTAAAGAAGAATAACATGTTTCTCATCGGAGGGAACAATGAACACAATGAGGCTTGTTTTCCCAACAGTGGCTGAGCCCTCCCAGGAAAAAAACTACAATGCACTTTTTTATAATTCACTCTTGAGCTGTGTGTGTGCGGAGCAACGTCAGTCTTCATCTACAGCAACAAACAGTCTCCACGTCAGAGCTAGAGGGGATTTAATTTGGGACCAGGCTGTTCAGATTCCTGGACATTCAACAGTTGAATTTAACTTTTATAAGTCAACTCAATACACCTACGATGTGCTGGGATCAGGGTGGCAACTTTTAGTTCATCGGGTCCTGCTGTCGTCACAGGTTTTGTCTGGCCTTTTAAGTGTTGTTTTTTTCTTTTTTAATCATGCCATGGTGGCAGGACTCATTCTGCCAAAATGTCACCGTGTTACTCTTTTGTTTATTTGTGTGCTCTAAGTTTTTGTCTCCTTTGACCTATCCGCAAAACAGTGGAGCAGCGGTTGAAAGCAGCTGGCCTACACATCACCACCAAAGGACCACATGAGCTCTAACATCACCCGCCTTGTGGTGCAGGGATGCAAGGGTGAAAGGCACCCAGTTATCATACACAGCCACAAGGAGGTCTGGCAGGAGTCATAGTGATGAAATGGATGTGAATAAGTGGGGAAGGACTTGCATACAAGGCAGCCTAGCGGGTCACCACAAGGGCCAGCCAGTGGCAGCGGGTTGTAAAGCGAGACGGCTGCGAGCGAGCAGGAAAACAGGCATGCACCTTTTTCTGTACTGCACACACACACACGCACACACACACACACACACACACATATATATATACACACATATGCAGGCAAATCCAAACACACTCAGACAGTCCCACAGGGAACAACCATCATCCACTTACTCGAGAAAGCTGGTGATGTAGTCTTTGCTGCAGGCGGACCAGGAGAAAGGGTTGGTGTTGGCTGTTATATGAGCGGCCATCAGCTTGGCTGTCTCGTGGCCTTTGGTACCGCAGGAATTCCCGATCCCATCGTGGTTCATCCCAAAACTGAAACACACAAAATAAAAGCTGGAAATTAATGCAGCTGGGATGATGAGCTTTCTCTTTGGCGAGTTAACTGCTCAGTTTGGACGGGGCGACGCTGGAAAGTCCGGGCTGCTGAACTGGAGGACGTCTCCCTCAGTGGCCCTGGCTGTAAAGTTCAAGCTCTGTGGCTCTGAAACAGCTGTGTGGAGGAGACCCGAGGGGTCAAGGGTCAAACCCTGTCTGGAGCTCGGCAGGAACGAAAAAGTTCTAATCACCACTCTGATGCCTGCCTGTCAATCAGCGCCTGCAGGTCTGAGCAGGCCGTGATGTGGAGGCGGAGTCACCACTGACTAGAGGGAGGACGGGTTGGGGGGTGAGGTGGTTGGGGTGGGGGTGGGGGGAGGGTCCTTTAGATCAATCGCTGCACCAGACACCAGAGAGAAAGAGAGAGAGACTCAAAATCCAAACAACTCGCAACCTTGTGTTCTGTTATGAAAGCTGCTGAAGAAAATAAATCATTTTAACAATTCATTAAAAAAAAAAACCTTATCTGTCTGGATATCATTTGAGAGAAAATCTCAGGTTACAGCAGGATGTCAACGCTTACTTTTCCTTCCAGTCCAGGAGCACAAATCAGGTCTAATGTATATAACAAACCCGACCACATCGCACAGCCTGAACCTGTTTTTCTAAGGCTGGCGTTTATGACATTTTACCCTACTCTGGAAATAAATCAGCCCCCGGTTGAAACCCCGCTGCAGTGTGTTTTTTTTAAACATCCTCTAGAAGCAGAGACTATTTTTACAACTGCCCCACAACAGAAGCAGACACGAGACATAATAAAGGAAATCGCCATCTTGCTGAACTCTCGAGAGAGGGATACGTAGACTAATACATCATCATTATTTTGCTTTATATTCAGGAAGAAAGAGCCAGAGGTATGTGGACACTGA